TGTTAAAGTTACAAAATGTTGTGCGGTTTAAAGAGGCGTAAAGTCAGGATGTAACATATTGCATAAAATTTGGATAAACTTGGGAGGTTATCCAGCCATGGTTTGCTCAGTTAATACTTGGACTGTGTGAGTTAGCTTGATGAGAGGCTGGGTAGAATAGGGTTATATTCCTTGGAGGGGAGGAGGTTGAGAGGTGATTTGTTTGAGGTATTTAAAATAAGGAAAGTAATTGATAATAATAATCTTTGCAATTGATGGTTTAGATAGAGGAAGGATTCATTAAAAGGGGTTATGACTTAAAATCAAAACAAAAATGGTGAGAAAATAGATCAGCAAGCATTTTGTCACGCAGTAGGTTGTGTAGATTTGATCAATTTAAGCGCTCTGGAATGCTTCCCTGCATGAAGGGCACTATATAAGTGCAAGATATTGTTGAAGAAGTAAAATGCTCTGCCTCAGAAAGCTGTAAATCTGGAATCCAAAAAGAAAATTTTGAAAGAGAGACAACATACTTGGGAGTAAAGGTATTAAAGATTTTCACAGCAGGGTGTGACATTAGGATTAAAAGATCTGACAAGATCAAAGACAATCTGTAAATACGTTGGTATTGACGTAAAGACAAACTGGTATGACCATCAACCAGCAAAAGTGACATCAGAAGGTAGCATGACAATAATCTAAGACTCACAAGTGCATACAGATAAAACTGTAAGTGCTGCTAATAAAAACAATATATAAAAAAGTAGAGTACATTCAAAAGGGAAAAGGTACTTTAGGAGATGCATGATAACATTGAAAGTTGATTGGAAGTCCACTTTACATTCTACATTAAGTTATAATTATACATTAAATACATATATTTGATCAATGTTAGACAGAAGCAACTCTTTATATTATCTCTTCAGCTATTGAGTGCAAATGTAACACAGCACTCCAGCCATTGATTTGATCAGCAAAAGTAACCCTGTTGCACTTCAGTAAAAAGAACACCTTTCTGTCTGCAACACGACTGAAACAATTAAAATATGTGATTTTCTTATTTCTTTTTCCTGGATTCAGATTCTCGAGGACACCAAGCTCCATCGTCACTGCCAGCCCTATGTGTTCCTCATACTCTGAGAGTCCTATCTTCCACAGTAAGATGTCCTCGGGTGTCAGTTGGGGTAATTTGATAGCACTCTTGTCTCTGGTTCAGAAGATTATGGGTTCAAGCCCTATTTTGGCTGCCTTGAACTTATAGTTTAGATACAGTGCAATGTGGGGAAAGAACTGCATTGTTGGAGGGATGGCATTTGGGTGAGAGGTTAAGCCAACTTTCAATTCTTCATATGAATATTAAAGATCCCATAAAACTATCTGAAAAATTAAGCAATGTTTCTTGTGTTCGGGCCAATAATTCTGCAGGTAAATTAGCCAAATCGTAGCTGTTTGCGGGACTTTTCTAGTGCTAATGACTGCTGCAGTCATTAAACTTGAATTTAATTGAATTGAATTTAACTTGAACTTGTATTTTGATGATAGGCACTATAAAATTGCATGTTCTTTGATTCACATTGCTTGCATTTATACTGCAGGAGTGTAAAATGTTTTCCTGCTGAGAGGTAGCTCCGCAGGTTGGTTTAAGCAAGTCATCACTAGTGCAGCTCCTTTTACAATTGGACATCTGAACCAGGATTTCAACATGTTTACAACAACAACAACTTGCATTTATGTAGTGGCCTTTATGCAGGAGTACTTTTTTTAAACTATCGACTTGGCATCATTTTCTCATTGAATTGACATGGAAAGCTTTTAAAAATAAGTCGTACATTGTCTCATCATCAACTTTGCTAAAATTTTGTATATTTTATGAAAGTTGATATTTTAAATTCATTTATAGTATTTGAATATATTCTGGATTGTAATACTGTGCTACATATTTAAGTTTTCATTGGTTTAAATCTGCATTTGTAAATAGACCCTCAGGGCATTGATGATGCTATCTCAAACCACACTCACATGCATTTTAAAGTTACTGTGGAACTTGACCCAATTTTAATGAAGTTAATATTCAAAAGCAAAATAAATCTAATATATGTCAAATCCTGATATTTGTAAATTTGGGTTCCACATAGAGGTTTCCTATATCTTCATTCCTTTATATATCTGTTTTAAAATGGAGTCTGCATGAATCCAAAGTTTCAGGTAATAAAAAATGGAGGATAATTTTGTGCTAGAATTCTTTCTCTGCCTATGACCTGTTTCTATCTTTCTTAAGGCAAAATACTGCAGTTGCTGGAAATTTGAAATAAGAACAGAAGTGGCTGGGATCACTCGGCAGGTCAGGTAGGAACTATAGAGAGCGGAAAGTGAGTTAATGTTTCAGGTTGATTACCTTTCGTCAGAACGACAAACTCATTTCCTCTTTCCATAGATGCTGCCAGACCTGCTCAGTGTTCCCACTGTTTTTATTTCTATCTTCTTTAGACTGATTTCTGTTTGTTGATGTTTCTTAACGTTAAAGCACTTTATAGCACCAATTAGTATTAGTACTAGCTGGCTGTGATTTAACAAAAGGAACATTAGTAAGCAATGTTCACTTGCCAGGAATTGAAAAATGATAAGCCTTACATCTGATATAATGTGTTTTGTGTTGGGACAATGTCTCAAAGCACTTCACAGGATATTCTGTCAATTAAAAAGAATGTTTAATGTATTTTGTAGGCTAACATGAAACAGGACTGAGAGAAATGGAGCAATGTTCCGCATATTAAAATACTTGAAAACAAAACTGGACAAACAATTTGATGGATAAGGCTGGGATTTCAACTGTCAGTCTTGTTTGAGGGGTGATAGATAATCTGTAATAATAATTACTTGTATTTACATTCTACAGAAATTCCACAGTTGAAATGGCAATATAGATTTATACACATTATCCTGATCTTTATTAGACTGTGTCAGGTGTCAGCTTGACTCACTCTTGCCTCTACATCCATGGGAGACTCCATATATTCTTATTCAGGAGTAAGATACTTCAAGTGGCTCATCTGTAGTAAGAAATGGATTAGTTATGGATCCACCAGATTTTGCTTTTGGTCAGCCAGGTGTCTGACACATTCACATAGCCCACTCGCATAGACCTGATGGGTCAAATTGTGTGTTTCTGTGCTGTAATGTTCTAGGATTCTTTGATCACCTATAACATGGATGGCCAACTTGCTTTAGATTACCACTTTTGCCACAATGAGATTCACTACAACAATTTCTCAACATTTTCTTGCTTTTGTTTTACTGTCACTTGCTGTCTGCCATCTGCCAATTCTATTGTGTGATTTACACTGTGCTATTCAACCTCTGATCATACATGGATTGTTTATAACTGCAACAAACATTATTCAACCATAGTCAGCAGCAGGCACAAGGCAGGTGTCTCAGTAAGTTGATCATTTTATACTACCATTTTGATATACCAGCAAAATATGTTACGTGAAAGTGTGCATTCCAGACACAGACATTTCCAGGTGTAGATGGCATCTATGTGGAAATCTCAGTTTGGTTTGGATATTCTTAAGCATGGTTATAAATTTCTGCAAGTATCAGACACCCGGCTGATCAAAACCAAAATTTGTTGGATCTATAACTACAGGATGCCATCACTTTCACAAAATGAAATAAAAAATGTAGACAAAACATAGAAACAGGAGTAGGGTATTCAGCCCCTCGAGGGTGTTTTGTCATTCTGTAAGATCATGGCTGACCTGTACCTCAATTCCAAATTACCCATCCTTGCCCCGTATCCCTTGATACCCTGACCTAACAAATACCTATCCACCTCAGTCTTGAAAATGTGAATGGATCCACAGCCGAAGAAGGCTCTTCAATACATTTAATCTCATCCTTCCAGAATACCAACCCTACCATCTTCCCATTATAGCATCAATCTGTTTCTTACAAGTGATGGCATCTATATTCTGAGAGTATTTGATTTAAGAGCTCCTAAACTTGTGTGCCGGCATTCTTCATTCCTAAATCAGCCTGTATACCCAGCAATGAGTTTGACAAATTCTGTATTGACACTGGACTCATTTAAGTTTCAATAAAATCCAATTTAAAGGTTAAAGATCAGGAAAGCTTAATTATTATCAGTGTGTGTGTGTGTGAAGTACATTTGATGTTTCACAAGCAGAATACACTAACTGGGTATTATTCTGAAAGTGCCAATTGTACATTTTCTGTACTATCAGCTGTTTCCCCCACCTATTTTGACATTGTTAAACACAAGACAAAAACATTACAAAGTCACTAAAACATTAAAAAACGGAAACCTAAGACAGGCATGATAACCGCAAGACAAAATATATTATTTTGCTAGGAAAACTGACTTTATTATGTTTATTTGGGATATCTGTTTTTTGTGTTGTCACAGCTCATTCTTCAATTTTTTTTTGCTCTCATGATTAAAGCTTCTATTTAATAAAATTAACTCTGTCATGATCAAGCATCTATGTAATAAAACTCGAAACACAATACGGAACATTACATTAATTTCTATTAAATTCAAGGATTGCAAATTTCAGGATAAGATTTGCTGTGTCCCAATTGGGGAATTGTTTTTAAGTTTTATTTGAGTGATAATCCGCAAATCTATCTGTTCTTTGGAAATGCAAACGTGAGATGGAGATAGCAATTGTTCAGGATTGAGCCAATGTTGGTGATAGCATCTTTGCCTTTCAATTGCATTTTCAATCCCCACTTTATAAGAGAACTGTTCATTGCTCTAAGATTCCAGTCTTACAATGGGCTGGTTGAACTGGATTCACCAGTACCTCAACACGGGCAGCTTCAGAGAACAGCCGGATTTATCACCAATCATTGGGCAGGAGTTAATCTCAGATCTCCATATGAGAACGGGAGCGACAACTAAACTATCTACATTTTTGTCTTAATGCAATTTAGAGGCTGACAGCAAATCCATTTCAAAATGTTGTCACATGAACCACAGTCATGAAACAAGCTACTTCAGAACATCTTCATGCTTTATTTCACAATTATTAAAACATCTCACTTGTCACATATACAAAATAGGAATACTTTTAATTTTTATGTTTTTGTTTTTAGAACTGTTGCCTCTTTTTCCTGTTCAGCTGGACTGAAAGTGCGTTGCTAAAAGCACAAACACCTGAAATTATGAAATGGAAATGGCAAGGAGGGTATCCACATGTTTAATTTGGGAATAGACAAGAGGATTCCATGATATTAGCCAATGGATTTTACTGAAAATAAAACCATTGTACAACTTAATACAGCGGAAATGTTCTTCTCACATAGTGACAATTTTAATCATGGCATGGGACATTTGGTTAGCACCACAGTTAGTAAGTACTTCAAGTAGGTTATCTGCACACTTCAATACCACTTAGCACCTTTACACAATAACTTGAACCCAAATACCACAGTTAATTATGAGAAAGAAATTATGTGTATAATACTTTAAAATAAGTATATGAGGTAGTTTAAACCTTGGGAAGCTGGTGGTTTTAAACTTCCTCTTTGAAAGATATTCAAAGACTACAGATGACACTCATGTTTCATTCTTTTTATTTACTTTCCATAATTTGTGACGTAAACCTTTAGTTCAAGGTTTCACCTGCAATAATCGCTTGAAATTTCCAAGTTGTTGCGAACTGCATTAAAATTGTACGGACAAAACAATGTTCTTTTTGGACATCCTACTTCTCTTTAAGCCCAGACTTAAGCAAGTGGATGGAGCAGAAGAAATGGAATGAGTCAGCATTCAGTTAAAAAAGGAAATGCGGAGAGTATTCTAAGTTAGCTCAAGTTCATTTATTTGAAACAGACTGGGCCAATGTCCAAACCAAATTCTTGTTCTGGGCCACCAATATCCATAGGTGCAATGTCTACAAATGGCAAACGAGATGTTTTCTGTGTTCTGTATTCAATGATTGTCTTGCTCCATTCACCGGTATGTTTCTGTTACAAACAAAATAGAAACAGGGTTATTTTCATGGACAATGTCTCACCATCAGTTAGAAAATTAAACATGGCATGATATTTTGCTGAAAATCCTTTTTTCCCTGTTAAGCAATAAGTCTCAACATGTCAGGAAGCGCGCTCAGTGGTATGTTTGTTTCACATATAAAGGCAGAGTAGCTTAATTTACTTTGTGTCTATTAATAATAATAATGTTAGTCATTGAAGAAGGCTGGCTATTTACATTGTTGGCTATATGTTACACATGTATCAATTTTATTTGAAAACAGATTTTGTAAGATATTGCAGCATCCTATCAGAAGCGGCAAATGTTCTGTCAAAGCACAGATGTGAATCACATGATTTGGATGTGTTGTGGCACAAGGCTCTTTACCCAATTCAACAGTCATGATATTTCTGTTTATTTTACTCTAAGCACAGACAAGTTCTGGTCAGGTCTCAGGGTAAGATCAATGATTATCTATGTGCTTGGTTGGCAAAACAGTAATAGATGCAGAGTCAATACATACATAATATGTACGTTGGGCTTTATTCAGAACAATTATTAAGGTGGAAATGAGGATATTTGTAATATGTAACTACTGTCAAAACTGTAAAGGAAAATAGGAAGTGCAAAGTGAAAGAGAATGAAAAGTTGTTACTAATTCTGAGTACTTATTCTACTAATAGTGATTTAGGAGCAATAAAGAAATATCCAGTACCGCAAATCTCCAGTACCTACAATTTGTTTCATTTATCGTCTTCATTACTTGGTTTCCATTCTAAAATATATCAAGTACATACCAGTCACCAGATACTGACTCGGGTGCTGTGTTGTTTGTACAATTAACACACTTAAGCATAGCTGTAGTTAAAGCAAGTTGTTAGTGCTTACCGTGCATCCGTCTTCCAGAACGCTGTAAGTGAATCTGCTGTTGCCCTCAGCTCGGAGTTCAACATCACTGTTACCAAGGAGAAGTACTGCCTTTTTCAGGCTTCCACTCTCCTCATCCATGTATGCTATGCTGTTCTTGCAATAGTAGGTGACATTCTGGGAAGCTTCATTTGACAGGAGTTGCAGGAAAGTCAGCTGGGTGGCCATAACAAGTGGTGTGATGTGCTCTTCGTTGTAAGTAAACTAGAGGATAAAGAGACTCAGCGTAAGATATCTGGTTTATGATGTCTCCCAGTCCCAACCAATGCTGCATGAAGGGGTAATGTGGTAAGTGATATCACCTTTGGTATTATCACATCAAACAAAAATGTGGTTATGGCTGGCCTTCAGTGGGTGGAAAAGAATACCCTCCTCACAAGGTGAACAACTATTGACTACTTCTAAAGAAATGTTTTGGTCAATATGATAACATCACTGGTGGTAAAAGCACATGCTGCACAATTCCCCCTTTAAGGTTTCAAAATAACCTGCATCCTGTACACCTTTCGTCCACTTACTTGGGCACCATCCTTGATAGTTTCTCCGAACCATATATGTTTCTTTTCTTGGGCATCATTGCTGATCCACCAGTTTCTGCGTTCAATGATGTCTGGGCTGGCATGTACACAGGTCTCTCCAGTTGTGAACTCGCAGAACACTCTGATGGCATCCTGGGTGCAACCTTGGTTAGGATCGATCCAGTAGTAACCTGAAAGTTTCAATTGAAGAAGGTACAATAACACATCAAGGTTCTTGTTCAGCAGTGTAACAGATGTAATATGGCAAACTCTAAACAGAAAATTACAAAACAGAGACTCAAGCCCAAGCTAAAATACTTTTTTCAGATATATATTTACATATAATACACAGAAGATATCGTAGAAATTCTACCCATTAACATACTGTGTTTTCCCCCCTTTTGTTAATATAATTGGGGGACAGTTCCACTGGTGTTCCCCATCCTTCAGTCCTTCACAGGGGTGATTATTCTTAAAGTGTAAGACTGGACATTGAGGGTCAGCAAGCCATATGAATAGAAAAGGGGGACATCACATCCAATCTTGCCTTCACTGATGTCCACATATACACAATTTCATCAGTAGCCACGCACAGTAATCAGGAGCATAACCTGCAGCCAATTGTTTTTTGCCGACCGAACTCAAGGTCACAGAGGCTAACTGTGGTGCTCTCCCATCAACACTCTAACTCAGATCACAAAATCACAAGAGAGATTTAGAGAAAGAATGTCCTTCAGCCCACTTGATCTGATCCTTCCAGAATAATCACCCGAATGCTTTCCATCATAGAACAAAGTTGTGTCTTAAACAAATGCAATGTCTCAAACTCACTTAAATGTAAAATGTGTAAAATATAACTGTACACTTCCTAGTAACCAGCTGACCAAGACATATTAGAAATTGAACCTAGGAAACAACATCTTGACCTGTGTGGGTTAATTCCACATCAAATTTACTGACTGTTAGGAAAATAGTAAAGTCAGGCTTTTGTGTGAACGTACCTGATTTCCATTCTGGATGGCTAAGTCTCAGGTCACGGCATGAGCGAGCTGGGTTTTTCCTTGAGCCTTCTGGGGTGCGGATACTCTCGATTTGGTTGGTCAAGACCTTGAGTGTGCTGTCAACTTCAAGGTCCTTCTCAGTAAGTGCACTATCAGGCTGATCGGCTCTGTAGTAAAAGTCATAGCTTACTTCATATCCACCACCAGAAACACCCGGGGGGCCAGGGTGGCCAGGCAGGCCGGGAGGACCCTGGAGAGGACAAAGAGCAGAGGTTATTTGTCTATTTGAAAATGGTTCTCTGCTATTCACAAAGATCTCAGAAGTAAAAGTTTTACTTTTGTATTTCAAACCATTTTGAAAAGTTTGTGGTTTGATTTCAAGCTGAATTTATGAGTTAATGTCAAGGTTCCTAAGGTTCTGGAGTTTTGTTTCTTAAACCAATGACTGTAAAATTATAAAGCTCTATTTCACACTAAGAAAAGTTTGTTGCTGATATGCCTATATTTGCTAAAGAAAAGGGATCCTTCACATTGAAACATAGAACTGGCGATTGAAAAAGTGGGCTAACTTTTGTTGCAGTGCATTCTTCTATAGCCAAGTTACCACAATGTTTTATATAAACAATACTCATGATGCATTCTTACTCCAACTTCCTTGGAAGCATTGCTTTCTCTTTTCGAACAGGGCCATGGTAGGACCACCACCTCCGACAATGCAGTGCTCCTCCAGCACTGAATTAGTGTCAATCTAGATTGTGAGTTTAAAGTCCTGATGCAGGACTTGAACACATAACCTTCTGACTCAGAGGCAGTAACTGAGTCAGGTTGACAAGGTTATGGGGGAAGAATGCCTGGATTTGTACTTTTTGCTCCCATTTGCAAGCATTTGAGGAACTTTGGATGTATGTTTTAATATTATTAAAGAGAGAGTCATGCTGTCAGCTCTTTAATAACATTACAAATGGTCTGTTGAAAATGTACGATGTCCTAAGACGGCACAAATGATTTCTCTGGCACACTGACATCAGCTTACTATCAAATGAATAACCATTTCTTCAAGGGTGAGTGACAGAAATCACCAACAAGTTGCTTGGCTATCCAACCAAGCCTAATCCTATCCTCACCTGACAGCCACCTACATTCACTTCCTAGAAGAGTCACTGTAAGGTGCTGCCTACATTTTATATATCATATGAATATCAATGATACTTAATATAAAATCTAACAAAACAGATTTCCTCTGAAATTAATGGAAAGGTGGAAGAGCATTTACACTCAATCACTGCATACAATAAATGAGGTTTAGACTTATCAGGTATAGATTTATGACAAGCAAAATGTATTGGTACAATTGGTTTGTGTTTATAATTTGAGGCAAAACTTCAACTTACACTAGGTCCAAGGTTGCCAGGACGTCCACGGTGACCGGGAGGGCCAATAGGTCCTGTGTGTCCAGCTGACCCGTCTTTGCCATGTGCACCATGTGGACCAATGGGGCCCTGGAATCAAAACGTAGTCATTTATTTCATTGTTGGTTTATTGCCTACTGGTTGGCACAATTGTCAAAGCAATAATGCTCTTACTTACCCTCATGCCATTAGGACCAGCAGGTCCAGCAGTACCTGGCTCACCAGATTGTCCCTATTAAAGTATGGAGCTCAATTAGTAACCCAGTCAATATGAACAAAACAACAGAATGGAATAAAAATCAATAATCAGAAGAATTACTAACGGCAACACCGGGAAGACCCTGGAGACCACCGTTTCCTCTCAATCCCTTCATGCCTCTGACACCAGCTTCACCACCTTCACCTTTGTCTCCACGTGGACCTTGTGGGCCCTACAAAACAGAACCATCAAGAGGTTAGGTCAAGTCACAGGTATAGCAATTGGCTGCTGTGTTTCGCCCACAAAACATATAGTCAATCCCCTTTACAGTAAATTCTGTGAAGTGCTTTGAAACGTCTAGAAGATGCGAAAAGGCACTATATCAAATGCGAGGATTATTTTATTACAACAATGATTTAAGAAAACATTTCAATTTTTTGATCATTACCTTTAATACAAGGACAGACACTAAAAGCTACAACCTTGCATTTATATAGCGCCATTCACTCCGGACGGCGTCTCGGAGTGCTTTGTGAATCTGGATTATATGTCATTTGGTTTTCTATAAACAGGAATGTTATTGCTGCTTTGAAAGGTACTTACAGGAACACCTCGTGGACCCATTGGACCAACATTTCCCGTAGAGCCTCCGGGTCCCTGGTGTCAAACAGACAAGCAATTACTCTTCATTAAAAATGCACATTAACACATTGAGACAAAAATAGAAATTGAAATTACTGGCATCTCTCTGTCCTCAAGAAAACAAACACTTACAGGTTCACCGCGATTGCCAGACTTGCCAACTGGACCCACTGTACCGTGGGAACCGGGCTGACCAGATGGACCAGGTGACCCATTGCTGCCAGGCTCACCACGATCGCCCTGAATAGGAAACAAAGACGAGCTTTATTAGCAAAGCAATGATATACTAGAACATCCCCCCACCCCATCCGCCCTCACAAAGTAACACTTTAAGACTGTAATACACACCTTAGGACCTGCGAAGCCTCTACGACCAGGAGAACCATCGAGACCGTTGTTTCCCTTAAAAACAAAATAAATAAAATAAATTATATTCAAGGACTTTCTAAGTTATACTGCAACAATTTTTTCTCAATGTTTTCATAACTATGCAGTATGTATTATATACGTGGTAACAGTAGGGTCAATACTACTGTATAACTTACATCACGGCCAGATTCACCATGGGCACCAGTCAAACCAACAGAGCCAACGGCCCCTGATGCACCACGTTCTCCAGGACGACCTGAAGGGCCCGTTGCACCAGTTGAACCCTAAATGGAATAACAAGTAAAATCATTATAAAGGCATTCGTTAAAAATCTTGAGGGGAGTCTCTCACAAATAATAAAAAAAAATGCCTCCCAAAGAAGACATTACTTTGCTCTAATTGCTTAGTGAATCAACTAGATATAATGACATTATACTTTTAATATAAACCACAGCAAAGAAATCACTGCATTTAATGAATGAAGCAGAAAAAATCCCCTTGGTACTCCACCACTATTAGAGAAGTTTTGTTTTGCCTGAAAGACTTGGGATCTGACTGTGTTGGTACAGTTATATGATATTTTCCCCATATTCTTTGCAAACAGCGTCAAACATTGTCAGCCATTGGAAACACTATGAAGATGGTCTATATTATAGGGCTAATATTATTCTAACATTACAATTCATTTTAAAGTCACAGTGTGGGAACCAAAACTTTAAGAAATGGCTGATCAAGGCATTTTGAATTCTACAGAGCTCTCTGTTCAATCTGAGACTTCATTTCTAAATTAATATAGTATAGTTAAGATTCATACTTTTTATTGGTTCTTCCACTTTCCTAGAACCAAGGCTTCAAGATGATAACTGCTTGAAGCATTCCAAGGAGATAGATGCTGAGCACAAAAATATCAGGTGCTACTTAATCTATGTGTAAAGTGTTTCATGAACTCCTTAAATGGGTAGATTGGCTAGGAAGGCTCTACTCACACTTTGGCCTGGACCACCTGGGAGACCACGTTCGCCTGATTGACCACGAAGACCAGTGGATCCACGCGAACCGATGTAACCTGAAGAACCATGAGAGCCAGGAGGACCCTGCACATAAATATCAATATGAGTACTTTGGTAATCATATATCTGTTGGTGAAATTAATATGAATTGATAAACAACTATGTCATTTCCCCCGTAACTTACAGAAGAACCTGCTTCACCGGCATTCCCCTTATCTCCATGAGCGCCAACAGCACCCATAGAGCCTGATGGACCTGAGTGACCTTGAGGTCCTACATCACCTCTTACACCTTGTGGGCCAGGATTACCAGGAGAGCCAACGGGACCAGTGAAACCTTGAGGACCCTATAAAACAAACACAAATATACTTGTCACATGAATATGTAGTAACCACTTATTTTAATGCTCTGATATATCCTGCCTGCTGATATAATACATATTTTCATTAATTTTGACCCTTCACTAATTTAGATTCCAAGTGAAAATCCTCTACAACACATTTCTAAATGATTACTGAGCTCTGCTCTGATCCTCCAATGTCACATGAAACAGTTAACCAGCTATAGAACAGCATAGCTTAGAGCTGCACTGGGAATACAATACAATCCAATTTCACATTAATATAGAGACTCTCACATCAGGAGGACATCCCAAAGATGATGCCAAATATGTGGTATTCATCATAGGAGCCCAGTCTAATAATGGTAAAGTTCATCTGGGGCAAGTGAATTTAAAGAAAGAGTTATACCCAAAACTGATCACAAACTGGTTACTGTCAATATCATACATCTATACTGTATACACTACATTAGAGTGAACATTAGGGTGATTCTCAGAAGGTAAGAATATTTACGGACTTAGTGGTAAAAGATCTTATTTTCCACCGGTTCATAAAGTTACAGATATTGACAGTGAGATAGCATATAATGATATGTAGAAAGTATTAACAATTGAGTTTAATAAGTTGCAAAAGGCAGCTAATGATTACAGGAGGATCATTAAACTAAATGATTTAAGGTTGAACAAGCATTGGCAGTATTACAATGGGGCTGAAAAAACAGTTGAGAGAAAAATGAAATAGCATCTTTCACTGAAACAGTATGTGAGCTGCTCTGTTCTGCCTCCAACAGAACATCATAGAGCCCAGATATTGCAGGTCAATGTTTCGTACATTGGAGGGAATGCAATTTATATCTTAAGGTGCTTTTCTGGTGCCATTTCAGCTGTTGTTTTACCAATGATCTCTTTTTCAAGCTTACCGAATATCAATGGTTGGGAAGTCAAATAAAATGTCAGTGACTTACAAATGGACCTGGAAAATATCAACCCAACAATCCAAATCATATTATCTGTAGGAGTTCCAATTTGAGACTCTGAGTCATTATTTGCCAATCAACGTTGTGAATGGTGTATTTTCAACCCCTCCTTTAGATCTTGAACCGGGTCCTGTAACTACCTTGACTTACTATGGAATCAAAATACACCAATAGCTTGGATATGAGCAGTCCCGTAAATTCTGAATTGTGGTGAATACCAGAAATAAATGGCGACACAGTCATCATGCTGAATCCTCCCTGCAGCACTCTGAAGGTGCAACTATTGTAAAGCAGAAACATATGGTTCTGGATATCTGACAGCAACAATTATAAGTTGCATTTATACAGCACTCTTCAAGCAAGATAGCGTCTTGGAGTGCTTAACAATGGCGGAGAAAGGCAAGGTGACCTTAAACCCAATTGAAGAAGAAGCTCATCAGATGTGATCTGAAGATGGGAAAAGAGAGGACAAGATGGATGGATTGAGGGATGGATTTCCAGAGTTTGGGACATAGTGACTGAAAGCATCACCGCTGGTGGTTGAGTGAAGGGTGCGAGTGGTGTGCAGAAGGCTGAAGCTGGCTGAATGAAGGGGACGGTTAGTGGAGAGGAGTGTGAGCAGATTGGAGAGATATGGAGGTGCTGGAGCATGAAGTGATTCGTAAATGTGAATTATATCTGTTCTGCAATAGAGAGTTAGTGAAGCCTGACAGGGACTTGGGTGATGGAGGTACAGAATTTGAGTGAGGATATGGATGGTGGAATTTTGAATCAGCTGGATTTTATAAATGGTGGAGCTGGGGAAATGAGTGAGGTGGGTATTGGAGAAATCAAAGCGGAGATGACGAAAGTGTGGAAAGCATATTTAATCCAGTTTCCTAAAAGTAATCCAAATAGTTTAGTGTCTTTTACTCTTGCTACAGTATCGCTGATCTGTCAAAATTAGTTCAGAAAGAAGAACAATTACTTACAGCTGGGCCAACGGTACCCATTAGACCAATAGGACCAGGGGAACCAGTGCGACCCTATAAAAAGAGTGAGAAAATGAGCTTTAATAATTATTTATTTGAAATCATCCGTTTGAAAAAATGACAAAACAATAATTATTTAACTTACTGATGGACCTGAAGCACCAACAACACCTCTGGGACCACTGGGACCGACGGCACCCTGAGAAATAAAAGATTAATTATAAGTTGAACAGGAATCCGTTCTTTAAGGCTTATGCTAAAGACTGCTATATTAGGAGCCGTTAAATATTTGGGGATCAGGAAGAATGAAAACATTTATTGCCTAAGCTTTCTGTTAATAACATGATCTTTGCTCTTCAATATGCTGCCAATACATCTAAACTTCAACTAACATCCAGAACCACAATGCCTGATGAGCATCTCAGATATGAAGCTATCTCCAAACTTCACTATACCCGAGCAAACGTGTCCGAGTGAAATGAAGCTAATTGTATGGATGACCTTCAGGAGATGTGAGTGAATGCTGACACTTTCTTCTTGGCTCAAAACTGTACAACCAAGAGTTTTAGACTGGAAGGACAGAGGTTGATGCTATAGTCTAAGTAGCGAAGTCCAACTCCAAAATTACTTGAGGTTTAAGTGCATTCTGTAGATCGTTGTATTCTGTAGAATACATTTGTGTAGCACCTTTCATGTTGGGAGGATGTCCCTAGGTGCTGGGGGTCAGGATTGCGGAGGGGGGGTGGGGGGAAGCAGGGTGATCGAAAGCACGGTCGAACAGGAAGGTCTTGAAGGAGGCAACGGAGTGGGGGGTGAGGCAGAGCAACTGCGCGATTGAGTTCCAGAGGATGAGTGTCAGAAGGCCCGCCTGCCAATGGTGGGGTGGGCAAGGTGGGGGACGTGAAGTAGGCCGGAGCCCGGTGAGCAGAGGGAGCGAACAGATCGGTGGGGGCTTAGGAAGTCACAAAGTTAGGGGAGAGCAAGGCTATGGAGGGCTTTGAAGGTGAAGACCAGGATCTTGAACTGTATCCTCTGTGTGATGGGAAGCCAGTGGAGTTGGGCAAGGATGGGTGTGATAAGGTCACGGAGCCTGGTGTGGGAGAGGACACGGGCTGCAGAGTTCTGGATGATCTATGGAAGGAGGATTTGGAGAGGCCGACAAGCAGGGAATTTGCATAGTCAAGCCTCGATGTTATGAATGCATGTATGAGGGTTTCGGCAGTCTGCAATGTGAGACTGTGGCGGAGCTAGGCGATGTTGCGGAGGTGGGGGAAGGCAGAGTGGGTCATGGCATGGATGTGGCATTGAACAATAATAATCCTTGCATATGGTACAGTGCCTAATTATGACAAAATGTCTCAAAGAGTTTCAAAGAGTTGTCTGTAATGTGTAGTGACTGTCAAAGGTGATCATAGCAGCAAATTTGTGCACACCAATGCACAGGCATGAAGTGAAGGACCATTGCATATCTAAACTTCCCAATAGATACTACTATTCAGTGAAAAAAAATTGTTGTAATTTTTCTAAAGGCATATTTTATTAACTGTAGACTTATTAGTACGATTTCTTTACAAAAAAATATTTTTTGATTAACTGCAAATGAAGAACAATATATTACGCATAGTGTGATACAAGGCTGATGAAGTTACTTAGATGGGCTCTGAAGCTCTGTACTTACTTGAGGACCAGAAGAACCAAGAGGACCTGAAGGACCAGAAGGACCAACTTCTCCCTTAACACCACCAACACCCCGTTCACCCTTCGCTCCAGCCTGACCGTCTGCACCCTACGTAATAGAAACAGAACACGAAAAATGAAACTAAAATTGTTTTCCACGTATTCTCAGGTTTCTAAAAATTGAGCAAAATAAAGTAAACGTTTGTTGGGAAATATAATGTTTTGAAACGTACGGGTGGACCAGCGAAGCCAGAAGGACCATTGGGACCCCTCTCACCATGTTCGCCCTAGTAGAGAAAAATCAAACCAATAATAACATTAGTGCTTATAATCTTTCTCCCAGTGGAGCTAATATCATTGCTAATTGTTGATTAAAAAAAAATCGAGGAATACTGCTATCAATAAGTGAGATATTTAGAAAAGAATAGTAGAGGTTAATATTAATATCTATTATTTTACTGTGCATTTTTTAATAATCCTTGCATTTGATATAGTGCTTTTCGTGTCTTCTAAACGTCTTAAAGAGCTTCACAGAATATACTGTTAAGTTAATTGACTGTGTATTTATGGGCGATTCTTGTACTTACTGGAACACCACGAGCACCAGATAAGCCAGCAGGACCACGAGATCCAGCTTCACCCTGAAGAAGAGAAAGGCAAGTTTAGTTATTGTATCATCACTCATCAGAGACGGTAGCAATCTGAAGTTACAGTAGAGAAGCCAAGTATGAGAGGGATATCATAACTGTACCATAATCATGTTTATAAGGGCAATCAGGCTATTTGCGCTGGTAGGCAACATTTTATAATGATTCTTATGATGATGGAAGTAGCAACGGCATAGATTTTTAAAATTTTTTTATAAATTGCGCTTGATTTTGCACCTTATCATGTGGGCAAAGCTCAACGTATTTCACAGGATTCGTTGTGAAGTGCAGTGACTATTTTATAGGAGAACAGCAGCAAAACACCAATAATGGTGGTTGTAATAACAATTAGATTATCACTAGATGTTGGGCAAACATAAAATATTTAGAATTAGAGCAACCCTATCATTAAGTACAGTGATGGGTCCATTTAACATTATTATGAGGAAAACAATTACTGAAGCTCGGTACCATTAGCAAGTTTCAAAGGTGACAGTTATTTGATTAAAATCTCATCATAGGAATATATCTTGTTTGTTTGGAATTGTTTAGGTGCTGCTGTGCAACAACAAAACTGAGTTTGAGGATCAAATCTTTTATAGAGTAAACGTTAACAGATCATATTAGAAAAGGCTAAATTAAATATCATATGACAATGGCATTTCACTGAGCAGAAAGCGGGTGAGAGGAAGAACTCCTTGACTTGTGACAGTTAAAAGTTTTAGTCCAACCTCACCATTCCTGTAAATTCAAAGCTTTTTCATTGCATTAATAATTCTATCAGTGAAAAAAGAACGTAGATGGCATTGTTGTAATAATTAGCACAAGGATAAAGAGTTTTGAAAGTTGCAAAGTAGTTGGTGACACAACTAAATTCTTTACACTGGTAAAAAGCAGACTTCCAGACTGTATGGATTTCTTTCAATTATTTAAATGGAAAACGCAACACAACCTGATGAGTGGCTGACATATTCTAGTGAATTAGAAGCACAGAAAAGTTAGCTGTGATGAGAGGTTTGCATTACTAGTTTGTAGTAGGAAGCTTTCACAATTTCATTTTCAAAACCAATTTACCCTTTCACCACCAGGACCACTTGGACCAGGAGCACCAGTAGGACCATGAGCACCCTATAAAAGAAAAGTTTGCAGATATTAAGATGAAGATTGCACATAACTCTACACTCGCAATCAGTATAAAATGATGAGTGTAAATATAACAGACAATGAGGGACTACTTACACGCTGACCATCAAACCCTGTGTTGCCAACGGGACCTGCAACCCCAAATTCACCCTGTTATCAAAACAAAACAGCATGAGTAGTAGTAAAGGCATACAGTTGCTTCTTAGTATCTTCATACACTTTTCAAGCCATTAATTTTAAAACTTCCAACTAGTTTTATACCAGTGTTTCAACAACAACAACAAGGGTTTCATTTTCAAAGACCTATCTCTTTGACCGCGCTTTCTGTCATCTTTCCATTTCACACACCCCATGGCCTCCACCCTCTTAATTCCTAGCCAGGATTATTAAGCGCATTAGATGTCCACCTGACGTGAAAATATAAATGTAAATTTGTATTATATTGTAATTTTTTTAAATGCCAGTGATCTGCAGGTTGCTCTGGTCACAATCATGAATTTAACCTATTCTAAACATCCCTCTTCCCCTTTACTCCAGTCCCTCCCAACTCATCCCTCCAATAATCAATAAAATGAACATAAAATCAAACTTATATTGAAAACATTTCTAGTTACCATGTAGAACATACTATGTGGAGTTCAAATGATTCCAGTGGTAGAGCACTATATTGTAAATCAGAGGGTAAGGTTTTACATCTCAGTTTTACCTGACACTTAACCCCATCCTTCCTTATTTTGACTGTTAGTTGGTGCATCCAAGTAATGCAATAATAATAAATAATAATAATGCAAAGATTATTATTATTCTCCTGGAAATGTGGAGCACTCTGCATGTGATAGCGCAAAACCTTACTCAAATGGGCTTCCTATTAACTGGTTATCCAGCAGAATTATTGGTGGGGCTGAGCCTTACAAGGGTAAATAGTGAGGCAATTGATAATTGGAAAACGATTATAATGTAAGGCAATATAACTTACCTTTTCACCTTTAGGTCCAGGGCCACCTGCAGCACCTCTCTCTCCTGGTATACCCTGAGCTCCCTGATGACCTCGTTGACCATGAAGACCAACAGAGCCAATTTCTCCCTAATAACAAACAACAACTGGTTACAAAAACTTAGAATTAGTTAATATGAGAACATATTTCTGATTCCTTTGCTGCCATTATTTCAGCGTTAATATAAAATCGTTATATCAACACATAGGGTGATTCTCCATTCGGTATATATATTAACCAAAAAGACCTTGCCTGCCAAGGTGAGTAAATTGATCATTGATAGAAGAAATCATACTCAAAATTATGACTGATTCATAAAGAGATAAGGTCATTTAACACATTCTGTTGATTTGTGTCCTGCTACAATTTAAACACAAGTCCAGAAGGAATTCCTTATTTAGCTTATTTATCCAAATACAATGAACCTCGCTTGTTTTAGTTTATGCTTAGGATACCATAATCAGTATTTCAACTGAGTTATTCTTTGTTACTCTTAAAGCTTGTTGGTAACATACCTTTCCACCTTCAGAACCAGTAGAACCAGAAGGACCACGAGACCCAGACATACCGTGGGGACCAGTAGCACCAAGTTCACCTGGAACACCACGCTCACCCTTAACAGAAACAAATGAAACACATCACTTTATATCATGAACCTTACCTCTAAACAAAGTGAATGTGCAAAACTATAAGAGAAGCTTAACTTACTCTTATACCAGGAGAACCGGTCATACCAGAGTCACCTCGGATACCCTAAAGCAAGTAAGAAAGTTTGTTAAGAATGTAAAACATATAGTTTAAATATATTTACTGTGTAACATTATCCACTTGTTTTACTTCACATTGTTTTCAAGACTCAGTATCTTACCCATTGACATACTATCGAAAGTAAAAAAAACAACTGTTGATGTTACAGTGTGCCAAAAGGTATAAATTTGCTTATAATTTAGTGCTTAAATAATATCACTACATGTCTACAATGAAGAGGCTATCTCCAGTTAGAGGATATGAATATGCTGAATATACAACAAAATTACATTTATAGAGCGCCTTTCACGTCGGGAGGACATCCCAAAGCGCTGAACAGTCAGGTGTCGGGGCCTGAGCATGGGGGAGGGGTGGTGTAGGGGTGAGGGAAGGCAGAGAGGTGGGAGGGAGACCAAAGGCACGGTCGAAGAGAAGGGTCTTGAGATCGGCCTTGAAGGATGCAAGGGAGGAAACGAGGTGAAGGGACCGTGGGATGGAGTTCCAGAGTGTGAGAGCAGAGAGGCTGAAAGCCCGGCCACCGATGGGAGACATGGAGCAGGCCTGAAGAATGAAGGGAGCGGGCAGAATATAGTATAGAATGTAGTAATGCTGAATACAGTAGGACCTTTAGGAAAGGTTAATATGTGCGAATGTATTTACATTTGTCATGAGTGCAGTTTTTCTGGTTTAGAATAAAATGTAATTGGAAGCAAGCATAATCATTTTTGGAAAGAATGCAAACTAAATGTTTGCGAGGTGAGCAAAATAAGCAGTGTAAAAGATTGATCGCTTATTTTTGCATCACTTGTTAACTTAGTAAAAACTGAAAATAATGACAAGTTGGATGACATAGGTTTGAAGTTTGTGAATTTATTCATTCTTATATATTAACATAATTTTATTAATAATTTTCAGATCATTGTGGGCCTCTAATGACTATTCTGCATGTATTCATACATATATGATACAGGCTATTTCGGTTACCTTGCCCTTTTTATATCAGACAGACAGTTTTGTTTATCTTACCTGATCACCTGGTTTTCCAGTCTCACCACCCATACCAGGAGGACCAGGGAGACCCTGAAGCAACATAAATAAACATATTTGATTTAGACACAATTACACTGTCCTTTGATTTTATTTAGCAAAACAAGATTTTTGGTAAACTACCAAAATGAAGGCACTTCTCAGCAGCAATTTCCAAAATATTTATCACCTCGCACTGCTTCAACAACAACAACTTGCATTTATATAGCACACCTCATGCAAGGTAACGTCCCAGAGCTCTTGACAGTGGCGGAGCACAATGCCGAGCTGGGGGGAGAGGGAAGATGACTGTAGGCAAGATGGAAGAGTAAGGTCTTCAGGGCTATGAGTTGAACATGTTGACTGCCTGAGGCAGGTCTGGATCCTATCTCCAGAGGAAACATCACCCAATAAAACAAGCCAAAATCTTTGATGTACTGGTCACCACATATGGGTGGGAAGGACATACTGAGCTATCAGGCCACCTTAATATGATTTCGGAATTGCTGGTGGGTCTGTCTGAACCACCTGCAGAGATCCACAGAAAACAAATTGTAAATCCCAAATTAGGAACAACAGTACAGTATGATAGTTGTTCCCATGTTGCTGTTAAAGTTGTCTGGACTTCCTCACAGAATAGTAAACTGGGGGAGAGGTCGGGGTTAAAGGATTATTAGCAACAATACCTGTAGGCTACTTGAAAACTGCTTCTCAAGAATTCCATAAACAAAATGCAACACTCAGTGTAAAATCAACATACATTCATTCTAAGCGGAGCTGATGCACTTAGATATTAAAATATGATTCCCATAAAGATTTTGCAAGGAATTATTGTCTATGATTGTAAAGTTTACATGATGGAATTCCTTTCCGACAATGACACATCCCCAATTTACTTCAATGCATCATATTTCACCAAGCTTATGATTCAATGTAAGAGACTCATACCTGGAAACCAATGGCACCAGATGGACCATGTTCACCTTTCTCACCAGCTGGACCCTGAAAAGAAACATTACAAATATACATATAATGAAGCTGCCACAGTGATAGCTCCAGCTGATTTCAATCTCATGCATCAGATTTACACAAACCAGTGGTGGCAACCTGTGGCCCGCGGGCCAGAAGTGGATCTCAGAGCCGTCAAAATGCATCTCCCCCCGTCCCCCAACCCAAGAATCTGGGTAAGTCCGTGTTCAATCGGTATAAATCAAGAAATATTCTATCAAGGAAATTTATTTTGTCGGCCGACCATCAAGGTTGGTCACCATTGATCTACACAATATTGCGTAATAGAAAAAATAAATGATTTCACTTTGTAATAATAGTGTTGTGTATTACTTTAAAGTGTTCACGGTTTAAAACACTGAGAAGTTCAGTATATATATGTGTATGTGTTATTAGTTCAGCTGATTCAGTGTTACTGAAAAAGGCCGTAAAAAGAAAATGGGTGCTCACTCTTTCAAAATATGTATAAAAATAAAGAGGATGGGAAAAATCACAAATGAGGAAGCACCTTTCATACATCTTGAATTGTACATTTCGTTGTAGTTTGAATAGTACCAAATGTTATGACCTTTTTCTGGCAGATTAATGTAAATATTTATCACTTTTTCAGTATACAAGTTTTTCCTTGCTGATATCTGCTCGAAACATCTTTTACGCAAATTTCCTTTAATGTTTTACTACTTTCTTAGCTTACTGGACATAATAATTTACCTCATCTACACCCTTTATTATTTAATGTATATTAATGAGGCTCTATGCATCACTTTCTTCACAAACTGTAAATAGCCAATGGAAAGTATATGTGGTTTACAACCATCAATTCAGTTTAACTTTTGAAATACTCTTACTTACAACAACTCCACCGGGACCTTGAGCACCGACTTCACCATCTTTGCCGGGTGAACCCTGAAGGACAACAGGATCAAAAAAACGTCCAGCTTATTACTACAAATGTTCATTTTATTGCCAACATTCATTGCTTCTATTTTTAAAAAATAATTTATATTTGTTAGTTTTTTTAAAATTATTTTTGCACCACATTTGCCATTCACTGCAAATTGGTTTTGTGCTAGTTTTAGACTTTCAGTTCACATGATAATTTATTATCCATCAATGCAATAATTTTCATTTGATCCATGATTTTTTTNGCTCGCCAGCAACATTCGACCTTTAAGTACACTATATGGGCCCTGGTTCTCCACCAATTAATCGGGTAACCGTTCGCTGGGAGTACTGGAGCAGTTACCACCAGTCTCATCAAAACATTAATGTGCGCAGAATTTAACGAGAGAATAGACTTCTATATTATGGTTTCTTGTATATCAAGAAAATTCCTCTTGTTGGATTACTTCACAGAGAGGTCAGTGTATGGATTGGAGTATGGACTACATTGATAAATGGAGTATAACCCTGCTGAGGTTTAAAATGAATGTAAATTCTCAGGATGCAATGTGACGTTAATCTATTTTCTACTTTTTTAGGTATGTTATATTCTGATTTTCTGAGCAACCTGTTATAGTTTCCCTTTTACAAAAATAGGAGTCCACCAAGTAAAAGCTAACACTGTGTGCTTGCATCTTTTCATTATGAAGTACAATTGTTATATACACCCATGAACTGGAATTTGACCTTCTCGGGGAAATATAAAATGCATCAGTCACCTGCTATATAATTTCTTATGCATCAATACAATGATTTCCATTTCAAGCAAATCTTTGCATGACAATTTTAATAATATGAGAATTCTAATAATATTATATTTGATGTAGCACCTTAACATGTTGTCTCGATATCTCAAAGCGCTTCACAGGATTTATTGCAGTGATTGTGTATTTTGTAGGCACACATGCAAAGTCCCACACACAACTGTGAAGTGAATGACTGATTTTATTCTGGATTAGATTGCATCAATTGTTGACAGGAATTAGTGTATTAAATATTTTGTAAATATTAATGTGCATGCTCAAATAGATGGCCGATGTCTGAATTTATTGAATTTGCATCCAAATGTGTAATGTAATTACCCTCCAATATTATATAACATTGGATGGACGGTAGCTGGCTTTGTTAAGTACTACTGATGGTAAACATACCCTATCACCAGTAGGACCAACATTTCCTCTCTCACCAGGTGGACCTGGTACACCCTGAAAAATAAAACAGATACAGGGTTATTTATGATTGAAGCATACCTTCTTTTTTCCTTTTGTATTTATGAAAAGCCGACTTTTAAATTTATTTAAATTAGACGATGTTATGTGCTACTCAAAGTGGTTTCTTTTATTTTATGACTCTAAGATGGTTTGTTTCTGAATTGAATATTTGGGTTGAATGCTACACATTAAACCAAATCTTCCACTTTAATCACCTTATCTACTTGTGAGGCTTCATTGCACAACAAACTAAGAATATTTGGTAACCTTTGGAGCCAAGTCTATCTCTGGCTAATTTCCTAACTAATGTGTCTTTTAAATATCAGTGCTGTACATAATTTCAAATATGCATGTAATTACCCTCCAGACTGAAAAGACACTTTACATCTTTTTGTTAAAGTACATTGAAAATTAGGCGAATGCTGAAAAAATGTGATGAATTGTTTCTCAATCTCAAAAAACAACATAAATGGTTCTGAAGAAATTGTCATTGAGGTTAAGAGAAGACACTGGAAATTGATGAAACATAACCAAAATGTGTATAATAGGCTATGACTTACACTAGTTCCCTTTGGACCGGGGAAGCCCATCATTCCGCTTGGACCTCTTTGACCAACAGGCCCAGGAGGACCAGTTCGACCTTCTTCGCCAGGTACACCCTAAAAAGTAGTCTCAGAGAATGAAACTGCATTCTTCAAAAGTTTGTGTTCAGCAGTCTCCTTTCAACCGTTTTAGTAAAAATGAATGCAAAAATATTCAAGAACAGTAATGCAGCATTCAAGCTATATGCAAAATGCTTATAGCTGAATTAATTCAGTTTAATTTACTGTTTTACTCCCATGCATGTTATTGAGAATTGCAAGAATATTTCAGAAATTACTCTGCATACATTACTCTTTTGCAAATTTTATATCAGTTTCTATTGTAGCACAAGAAATAATCAGCAAATCTAAAACGTTGCTCTAAAGATAATATCAAATATCCTGGGGAGTTATAGTAGGGCAACAAAGAATATGAATCAACTAAGACAGATATTCTATGTTCTCCCAGGCTAATGATCCTCAGGTTTCATCCTGGTTGTGGGATTTTTTAACAATACTCTGAAGTATTCTAAAAAAAAAGTTTTAGAATTCCAGAGAATATAATATTAAAATGATCTTGATTTGGAATGATTGTAAAACTATTGGAGTGGAATCTAAATGAACCGGGGCAGTTTAGCTAAGGTGGCTGAGAAGGTAATTGCTTATTAGAACTCGCAAAATCAATGCTCAATTGGGGCATGATACAATATTCCAAAACATTATCTGATAGGAATTCACTTTCTAAACATACATCTGCAAAGCTTTTCTTAAACAAGTTCAAGGTAATACTCTTTTTTCTTCAATTATTTTGCTGCCAGATCCATACATATATATATCCTTAACACAAATGCTGACACCGACATATAATGTATTCACTAATATTAGACAATAGCAACTGATATAATACCATTATTTATTTGATTAATACAACTAATGTTGATGTGCACTCCTGTATATGAGGCACCTTAACAGATAAACAATATTAAAAGAGATTATTTCACGTCAAATGGTAGTGCAGGTTTATATGACATTGTTACATATAAGTAATAATAAATCTGTCATGTTACTGCATCATAAAATAAGTAAATGTTAAGTGTTACGAAAGCACACAAAGTGCCACTTCTTGTAGTTATTGTAATGAATGGTAATAAATTATTTGAACTGCTTCCTAATTGTAGAAAACAGTACATATTAAAAGTTAGAAATATCAAACAAATCAAGCCTGTTCACTGTATAAGTAAAAGTTCTACGGCATTGAGAATGCATTATCCTCATGCAACTTGCCATGCTCGATTCCAAACCTAATCATAGCTTGAAATAAGCTGTCAGGAATGGGGAGCAGAAAACCTCATAAACAACTTACTGAAGCACCTGGTTTGCCTGGAACACCTGAATTGCCATGACTACCTACGAGACCCTGGAAAATAGCACATTACTGCAAAGTTAGGAAACTTACTGTGACACCTTCATTTCCCACGACACCCGATCTACCAGGTTGTCCTATAAGACCCTAAAGAAGTTACAGAGGAAAAAAAATCTTTCTTTCAATCTCATTTTAACACAGGCAAAGTTTAACATATTTCATAATGAATTCTTGTTGAATTTGCCAATTCGTTTTCATACAGTCATGTGCACATTGCGGCTTCTTGCACATCAAGGAAAATTGGACAGGTTCGCAGAACAGTGAATTAACTGTCAATTCTACAAAAAAAATCTCCAAGGCTAATATTTAAGCAGAGAAAATAATAATAACAATAATTGCCACTTCATAGCAATCCGATCTGTAAAAGTTATTGTTCTAGACAGTGCATTGCTCCCTAAAGTGTCCTCAGCAAAGCTGGATGGAAAATCCCCCCAGAGCTGAAAGCTTCATGTTCAGCAATGAGAAACAGAAAGTCAACACCATCTGATTTCCCTCAAGGCTCGCTGATAAAAGATAACCAGAAAACACATCAAAGTTAAAATGTTCAAACACTATATATAATATATATTGGAAATAAGAGCCACTTTCTGTTGTCTGCAATATTAGCAATACAAGGGAAGAACAAATATATTTCACAAAAGTATGTATGATTAATTAAGATCATAAACTACATTTTATAGGTTTACTTTTAAATAATAATGTATACAGTTTAATGTGTTAAAAAACTGGAAGAAGTTTAAAGTCCCATAAGTAAAATATGATGTAACCCAGCAAACATTTGCTCCTGTTTTACTCACTCTTATGCCGGAGATACCACTTTCACCAGGACGACCAGGATCTCCAGAGGGTCCCACAAGTCCACGAAGGCCAGATGCACCACGAGAACCAGGCATTCCCTGAAAACAACCTCAAGTTCATAAGTGAATGGAAAGCAAAATTTACATTAAATACATGAAAACAGACATTTTAACATGCACCAGGAAATATATCCTAACTATGACAATCAATATATACTATAACTAGATTTTCACTACAAATATGTTATAATTATATGTATCTATATACATATTATGCCTATAGCTATCTATATATTAGAATTATATCTATATACATTTCAATACATTAGAACTATATGTTACATTATATATGTTACATTCTCAGGCCATTGTTACTCCATCTATGTTTAACAATGAAACATTTACCTTGCCACCAACTCTACCGTCACGGCCAGGGAAACCACGGTTACCAGGAGCACCCTAAAAATTAAATGAATCCACATGAATTAAGCATTCAATAAAATGTAAGTGGGTTAAACATTTGGAAAAGTTTACATTTCAAAATATCACAAATATTTCCCCTTACATTAATGCTGCCATTTTATTATATGCTGCATTGTATAGGCTGTAGATGAAATGATTGCGTTTGTGTTATCAGCGTCAGGGCTGTCATTAAAATAACCCTAATCTATTACGATTAAAATGATTGCAATATTAGGATAGCAGTAACAATAATAATCCTTGTAATTGATAAAGCGTCTTTCACGCCGGCAGGACCCTTCAAAGCTTTTATGAGATTTATTGTAAAGTGGATTGGATGTGCATTTTGTAGGGGAGCACTTATAAGGATCTTTAAAGAAGTATAGCATCTCCTTCAATCATGTCAAACTAATCAGGAAGACAGATCTTCCATTAGGTATTTATAATTAGACAAGAATGATTACATGTCATTAAATGGTCTATAATCATTATTCTAAATTAAAACAACAAATTGATTTTACATAGTACTTTTCACATCGGGAGGACATCCCAAGGCACTGAAAACACGGTTGAGGTTGGACAGAAATGAACTAACTGGTGATTTTATATGCTAAAAATGTATGGGTGACAAGACAAGGTTAGTTTTATTGTATTAAATGAGACCTACTCTTTCACCAGAAGGTCCACTCATTCCCCGAGAACCAATTTCACCACGAGGACCGGACTTGCCTTCTTCACCAGATGAACCAGGAGCACCTTGCATACCAAAGGGACCCTAGGTTTGGAGCGAATCAAAGTGTTAACAAGTAGAATAGAATGTAGTATGAAAGCAAAAATTGAATGCTCAGGAGAAAGAATCACTTACTGAGTCACCCTTGTTACCAGTCTCTCCCTTGACACCAGAAATACCTGGTTCGCCCTGAAAACAAAGTTTACAAAAGTGATGTTTCATCACAAACAACTCAAAGCACAACAGAAATGCTATTGTTTTCTTTCTTTTAAAAAAATAATGATTATTCTCTAGGCTTCTGTCAGAATGTAGAGTTTTACTCACAGTGAGGCCTCGAGGACCTGCTGGACCAATAGCACCTTGTGAGCCTGGAGCTCCCCGTGGACCTGGGAAACCTGGAGCACCACCAATGCCTGGAGAACCCTGTGTAGAAAATAAAACACAAGAAAAATGTTCAGCATCACTTGTCAATGCCACACATTGGGAAAGCAAATCACATAGAACTGACTAATGTACTTACAGAGGATCCCTTTGCTCCAGCGATACCATTCAAACCAGGATTACCCTAGAGATTACAAATATAAATAATAATATCATTTACAATGCTTCCTGATAGATCAAACCATGTTTTTAATCTGATTATTGTATTGTCATTAATACTTACGATAGGACCCATTGGACCAACTGCACCTCCAGGACCCACCTCACCTCTTGCACCTTGAGGACCAGAGGGACCACGTAACCCTACGAGTCCAGTTTCTCCCTACATTGCATGGAGAAGAAAGAAAATGAGCTGGTGCACTCAATGTAAGATACTGTCACTTGTGTATTGCACCTATTAATGTTCTGAAAGCTCACTAGTAAATAATAAAGGTTCTGAAACAAAGCTAATTTTTACTTGCCAACTTCCATTTTGCTCACTGGACCTTCTTCACACTTTACACAATGGGATTTGCTGTTTGCAACTCTCGCAACCTGATATTTACAACTTGAAGTTACATACAACAAACCAGCTAGGCAAATACCACTTTTTAGACCCAATAATGATCTAGGTTCAGTTTCTTTTGATCATTAATTCTTTTATTTCTGACTGTCGTTGTCTTGGAGATGGAAACTCTAACCTCAATTCACATTATCTTATACCATTTAGAAAATATACTATTTGTGAATCACTTGAGTGATACAGTATATCTAATCGAGAATAGAAAATAAATAACTTACAGGAATTGTATTCAAAACTTTTGATACTAAAATACATCCACCATAACCTACAAGACTGTCCTTAACCAGATTTGACTTATGAAGAGCCAAATACAAATATTTTATCACCAGAATGAGAAACCTTTGTGCGATATGACAATAAAAGTTATTTTATTTTTTCATGAATTGTTAAACTAGAAAATCTGAAATAATATACAAGCACAATGGCGAGCTATTTTAAGCATTACCTTTAATGTTTGAATGTTATCAATGCTGTGTGTTTATATTAATAGATCTAGCTGCACATTCTTTAAATAAAAATGAACTGCAGGGTACCTGAAATTTTCATTGTACATTTATTACATTGGATTGCTGTTGCTTTGATATGTCTTTCATTTTGTAACTAAAGGCAGTTCTAAGTATTGAACAATCGAGATTAGATGTGTAGAATGAAAGCAAAACCTCAACTTTCACGAGGGGTAGTGCTGTTCTTGTGATGAATCTAGTTAACTTGTTCATTAGCGTGTCAGGCTTTATAAAAAAAAGTTAAACGGGTAAAATCACAACAGGTTATTGGTCAACTTTCTAACATAGGGAAACCTCAATAAACTGCAGTCAACTGGGTCCAATAGCTCTGCAACTATAGACAAAATGCTAAAAAAAGTCTGATCCCTGGGTCATTGCTGACATCACTTCCTTGATGACTTGACAGTCAGAAGTGCGTCCTATGCACAGTATTCAGGAAGTTATATCAGCACCACTTTCTGTGCAAGTGACCTGACACAATGAAAGTCTACTTTTTTTAAATTATGGGATGTCAGCGGGATAATGGTAGGTACAAGTACAATGTATAAACAAGGCAGTCTTCCCTGGATCTGGCATCAAGCAAGTTCTTCGCTAAATAGCTTTTGCTCTGTTCTTATTGATGCTAAGAATGTTTTGCAGCTCCTATTAGTTTGGCAAACTAATCCTCACATTCATGGAATTATACTTGTAGAGATTTAGATAGCTATTATTTAAATATATGCTATCAGTTGCCACAACTTAGTGACAGAATGGTAGCAGTGCTTATTATTTATTGGACTGTTGTTACCTGGCCCGTTTAAAAAAAATAAACTGATGACTGAGTTAACTAGCTCCTTGCCCATGACCTTTCAATCCTCACTTTTGACCTTGCCACTTCTTATGTGGCAATTGATAATAAAAATCCGAACACTCGTTTATTAACTGTCATCTAAGGCTGGAATAAAATTAGCTCATTTAAAGCAGAAATTGTACTGGTGAGATACAGAGAGAGAGCGGCGCAAATTTAATTCCATTTCTAGTCCTTGGAGAAAAATTCCCCCAGGGTTACAAGCATGCAAGTACCTCCACACCCCACTTGCTTGGTGTTGGGTGCTAATCTTTAAATAACCTCTGTGCCCACATGTATATATGACAGGTAAAATATTCTAAGACTTACCTTGGGCCCAGGAGATCCTGGGAAGCCAGGAGGACCAGCTGTGCCCAAAGGCCCCTGTAAGGGAAACACATGGGAATGTAATCATTTCACCACCACCACCAACGATAATTTACACTTATATAACAACCTTTGTGCGGAGTAGTGTCTCGGAGTGCTTTCGTTTGTTAGACCTTCATTGCAATTTACTATTCTGGCCCATATTTTATTCAGCATTTATTGGAACTGGCTTTTGTGCTAGTGCTAACATTGTCCATAGTAAACTGAAAGAAACAATTTGAACCTCTAATGAAATGACCTGCAGTGGTGTTGGAGTGGACCCACACTTCCTCTGAACATTATAAGTCAGGTGTCGCTTTCAGCAACAACAAATTGCACGTATCCAGCGTCTTCACATCTGCTTCAGCCAGTGTCCCTGTCTGCCTCATTAGAACATTACAAGGTACAGTGACTTTAAAGGAAGCCATGACATATTAACCAAATTGTTGTGCAATGCAATTCACTACTATGAATATTTCTGAGATCCAGAAGCTGCGTATGCTGTTTTCTATTATGTTGGAGGGAGTCTGAGGAATTTTACTTCTACCTCTAAATAATTACACATTACTCCATTAAGGGTGGATTTTGAAGTAATTTAACATTAAATATACCAGCAGCATACTTACAGGAGGACCAGTGGATCCAGACATGCCATCACTTCCACGGGGACCCTAAAGGGCCGCACAAACGTATTAATAAAGCTATTTCATCTCAGTGTCACGAGGCACATTTGAAGTTATAAAAAGAGTTTTTAACTAATAAATTAATACCGACAATGTATTACTAAACAAACTATTTTTTCAAAACAAAAATAACAAAATAGGATCACAACGTCTCAAAAAAAACATAAGTGTGTTTATTCATGAATAAAGTCTTTGCATTGTTAATAGACTAAACGGATGCATTAGAGAAAGTCTAGGAGACTTGGAACGTACGTCTGGACCAGCACCTCCAACACGCCCTCGCTCACCAGAAAGACCACGGGCACCCTGTTAGCATGAGAAAAAGGAGATATTACTATAATCATTTATGACTGTACACTGCACCATAGCACAGGCTTAAATTTAAGGCTTGCACAATCTGTATAATTCAAAATACTATCCATTCAGTTAAAGTGGAGAACACATACCACAATTCCAGGACTACCATTGGAGCCTGGGGAGCCGGTTTCACCCTGGAAAGAAAATCAAACTAATATTTAATCATTTGTACACACTCATGCTTGTCTGGGTTGTTTTCTGAAATTAATGTAAGGAACATAGGAAGATATTTGTAACAATTAAATCTCCCTGACCTCAATCTGATACAAGAGACCCTATTAATGAATTTGTGCAACAGTGGGTATAACATCCATTGTACCAAGATGTAACATAATCTGTCCACTGCCTTATCAACAGGCGAGGTAATCTTATCCTATGGGTGTGATTAATAATTAAACTCAGCAACATTACAACTAAAGCTCCTGAACAATTGCAGTGAATCCCAAAAGGCACACTCTAAGGTAGATTTGCATGTGAAATGAATTACCCCATGGAATTCAATGGAATACCACAAAGCTATTAGTGCATCATTGCTGGTGTTTTCTCGTGTATTGTGTCATTATACAAGATTTTTAAAAGCGTGACACAGCACAGACAATGCACAATCATGACATGCCATAGTCTACATTTCTACATCAATGGAACATGTCTTGTAGTTTATCTGGAAGAATTGGTTGACATTACAATCAATTACAATCAACATGACATTACAATTGGTTTCATTTGGTTGTCAACCTCGATCAAAAAAAACTCTTCCTGATAACAATTTGCAAAGCAAATTTGTAGGTTTGTAGTGTTGAAATCAGAGATTCCAAATGCAGGCTGGTTGTGGGTGCAAAATAAATGATGGGACAATTGCAGAGTACGGAATGCTTTGCATATCTTGTATGGGTAACAGAAAATCAATTTAAAAAAGCATTAAAAGCAAAACGGTGGCAACCTGTCATCAACTCCTGAACAAGAAGTCAATTGTACAGTTATAAATTGTCTTCAATCTTCTGAGGCTCCAGCATTAGGCATTTACAATTCAGAATTCATTCAGAAAGAATATGGGAGTGGTGAGCCTGATGGGACAGTTTGATTTATGCCAGGTGACAAGTGACATGTGACATGGTGAGTCACTGTGGGGAAGCACTAAACAGAGGTTGATCATTTTTCCACTCATGGGAGGGGAAGAAAATTGTATCTAAATGAAAGCCTTGCAGTAGGTCAATCATCCGACTTAGTGCAGAGCCAACCTATTGACTATAAGTGATGGATCACAGGATAAGCAGGGCTCAAAGGAATAGTTTATAACAGAGCAGATCCCACTCTTGTCAATAAAATTAATGCAAAATGCAGTGTTCCCGTGATTTCCTTTTTGACAATAATTTAATGAAGAGTCCTCTCTTCACAAGGTCAGATGTAAAAATCATTACAAATATCAAATCAAGTTGTGTGCCAAAGGCTTTGATATTGCTCAACTGTCTGTGGGAAGCTGTATCACAATGTGGAGGGTTTGGCAAACTGGCTATTGCTACAAAATCTATTCCCTACGTAACCCTGATAAGAACAAAAGTTATGCTGTCAAGATGTATTTACACCAGAAACTGGGCATTTATGTTGCTTTCTAATGTTGAGTGCACTATAACTGACACAAATGTACATGAACAATCAGCATGCCAAGAGCATGTGACATATCTAATACTTATAATAATAATCCTTACATTTGATATAGTGCTTTATCACACAGTTGAAATGTCTCAAAGCGCTTCACAGAATATACTGTAAAGTGAAATGACTGTGTATTTTTGTGGGTCATATGTAGAAGCCAATTGTACACAGCAGTGTTCCACAGACAGTCGTAAATTGAGTGACCAAATTATTACCCCTGGAGAACGATCCACCAAACAACTGGGTTCCAACTTACTGCTAAGTAAACTTGCCAAGAATCAGCCTTTTCCATCACTTTCTGGGGTACATAAATGTCTACTGGCCACGTCTCAACAAATCCTGAGTCAAGAGGAGCTCTGGCACTTATTTGTTGGCAGTCTCAAAATCTCAAAGCAGATTCATGATAGAGCAGCCAAGCATTTGCCTTGCATTCTGTCATGGAAACAATTATTGGCCTTAAACATAAAAAATCTGTTTCAAATTTCAGCTTCAATGTGCACTGGGACATGTGTGGTTACAAAGCTGAAGTCTGTTCTTTTGAGGGGGAATGAATCATCGCCCCCATAAAATCGTTACGTTTTTACATATGGGCTAAAGATGGAGCATAACAATTAATGACTGGTCTCCATGGTAGGAGAGAATCATACGTTTCTGAGCCACCTAGTACTGTTGTTTTTTTACATGTATTTTATATACATATACATACAATGGGCATTTCTGCTGAATGTGAATTGTGCTACATATGTAAAATGAATACTATGTACAAAATCCCCACTCCCAGGAGGCACAAATATTGGGTGAAAAATAATTATTGCTCCTTAATCTTATCTAATTGATAGTATTTATCTTGAAACTAATCTCACACACTAACCTAGGTATTCTGAACTATAGTACTGATGTATGAGAGCATCATGCTGGCCCAATTACTTCATAGTCTCTCTGGGTTCAGGTTTTAGTGACAGATTATGTCTTTCAATACATTTTATATTGCAGAGCTCAGTGCAAATTGAAATGCTGTGGTGGATGTTACAAGTATTAAGAAGCTGTGATATTACAGGGTGATTTGTTGGTTGCTGGGCTATGACTTTTGTTAAAAAGATTGGACAGAGAAGACAAATACTAGAAATTCAGAAAACAAAATTAAAAAATGGTGAGGTAGAAATGATTTCATCTTACAGGATTTGGGACAATTCAACGGTATTTAACATGGGAAAGTGAGCAATTCAGCAAAGGAAATGTAAGGAATAAATACCTTTGAATATTTTCAAGGTAAAACAATAAGGTAACAAATGATTCATTTTTCAACACGATTAGAAAAGTTGAAAAATTAGCATTTTCACGTTTCTCAAATGAAAGCTACAAATTATTTTAGTTTAACAAATGCAAAATCCATAGCAAATACAAGAACTATTTCTTTATGTAGCATGTATGGGAAACTCTCTGAATCATCTGTAATATTACTGTAATTGCTCATCATTCAGTTTTACCTTGCCACCGGTGGCACCTGCATCTCCTCTACGTCCATTCAATCCGTTGTAGCCCTTTAGAGAGAAGGCAAATTTTAGCGAATATCCAATATTAGTACACAGTTATGCCTTGCTAAATATTAACTGCAATACGTGAATGTAAAAACGTAAAAGAAGAAGCTGCAAACTTACTCGGTGTCCTTTTCTGCCAGGGTGACCAGGAGTTCCGGGGAAACCACGAGCACCCTATAAATCAGGAGAGAGGACCACAATTTAACAACCGCAATGGCTGCTCATAACAGTTCAGTGTAATAGGTTTACAAATCTGATGGAAAAAAAATACATCAGTATTTTACCGAAACCTCAGTATGTCCATGATGGATAATACAAAACAAAATGTCATTGTACATCACCTGTAAACTCAAATTCAGATGTTACTTACCTGAGGGCCTTGAATACCACTGTCTCCAGATTTGCCAGGTTTGCCGTTCTCTCCCTGTCAGAGAAATGTGAACACTTAGTATTGATGCTAGTATTGATCCTATGTCACTGTAGCACTTAATACTGTATCAGGAAAAGACTTTTGTAGCTACATCCAAAATAGATTACAACACACAAGCATGTAAGGCATGCTTTAAAGTGTCTTATGTTTCTATTCCTCATAATGTATTTATTAAGTGAGTAGGGTACTGATTTTGATGACATAAATGCACTGCAGTATAATGCAGCGTATCATTATATTCACACCACCCTCTGAGACTGATGGATATAATGCAAACTTATTCCTCATGGCCAAGAAAAAGACTTATGTTTTGATCTCATCCACAAACCATGGTAGAGCCAAGATGGATCCCTGAAGATGGGATCAATGGAAGGCAATATTAAGTGGAGTCACTGAGTCATATTGGTCAAATGTGACACTGACAGTACCCAGTTCATTTGGTCCAATTTAGTGTATGAAACAGAAATGAAAGCAGTTGAAAATCCAAAGGAAGAATTCAAACCGCGTCAGAATACTTATCAGGATAGGAATGTTTTGAAGTAATTGAAATGGTTTGAGATAGAATATTGTTAAGGGCACATTTAAAGAAGATACATCATTTCCAAGTTTTAGAGAGTGTTAAATTCTTAGAAACCCAGAAATGTAAGTTGCCCATAGGCACCTCGAAAACATCTAATTGCAGTACAATTTTATTCAGGTCCTTCTCATCCCTAACATTATGCACTACGAGGAAGACAATAGGAACTTTATGGAAGACCATTTATGCAACTATCAATGAATCAAAACTCTTGGCCAAATTGAGAACCAGAAAGAGCAGAGCTTGTTCAAAGACAGTTTTCTAGAGTTCATATGCATGAGAAATAAATTAGAATTCCTAATTCTGATTGCTCAACTTCTATCCTATCTTATTGAACTACTCTCAAATGTCTGTGTATTTAGATAAAAGATAGGCAGTAGGGGCTGGAATGTATTCAGGGTGTTTTCCAGAAAAGATTATTTTTAAATTCATTTTGGCTGTGGTGGTCAATTTGTATAGGATTTTCATCCCTTAAACTCACAATTTCATAGTCGGTAAATTTACAAACCAGGAGGGAATAAAATGCGTTTGCCAGACAAAATTGGTAAATTTACCCAATAATTTATCCAACTATTCAGCTGAAATTAGTGTTCAGTCACCACCTTTGGTGACTGATTGTAATGCGTTTTCACTGTACATCTCCAGAGCTTTTAGAACGCAGATAGCATGGAGTGGCTCTATTGCAATGAACTGAGAATAGCATTTAGAAATGCTTCTGTTACAATTTATATCTTACTTTGGATCTTTAAAAACATACACAATATACTTACATCGTCACCAGGTTTACCAGGTAGGCCTGAAGGTCCACGAGATCCCATTAGGCCCTATTGAATATACAGAAAAGAAATAAAAAAATAAATTGAATATTTATAAAGCTTTTTTTAAAATCCCGAACAAAAAATCCCCCACTGCATCAAATGAATAATTCTGCTATGAGGTTTTACTTACAGTTGACCCAGATTCACCAGGAAGGCCAGGGGATCCTTGGAAGCCTTGAGAACCCTAAAAATTAAATGTTCAAAATAGTCAAGTATTATAGTCAGAGATAACTAAATTAATTTTACAAGCAATCTCTTTAAATTTGAGGTAATACTATGTGTCGCATAGTTTCCATTATCAATTAGAAAGAGCTAAAATAACAAGGCATTTTGATACTTACAGGAGATCCAGGTCCACCTGAAGGGCCTCTTGGTCCTGGTATACCCTAGAAAGAAAAATAAGTTATAATTAGTGTTGGAGGAGCGTAAATGTATTAAGTATCTGGAAGTGTTGTAGCGATGGTTCAGTTGTCGTTGAAATTAACATTTGAATGGCTGAAGAGAAAGCCACTTTTCCACAAACCATAGTTGAGCCAAGATGGATCCCTGAAGATGGGAACACTTAGTACTGATGCTAGTATTGATGCTACACTACTGTAGCACTTATTACTGCATCAGCAAAAGTGATACAGTAATAAGTGATGTGATGTTTTGTTAAGAAACAAGACTTTTCAAGTGATGTGATGTTTTGTTAAGTAACAATTTAAGAAAGCCCAGTACGGTTTGTGTTGCATTATGACAGATTCACCACAAGGACAGCCTAACATCTACCTAGTCCTAGCTTGTATGACCTTTTTGTCTTGAAGATTTAAGGTTAAGCAGTGTTGTAGGAAGTTCTTAAATTCAGTCATGATTCAGAAGCCACTTTTCCAGCTCTTGCGAATAACCAGCTTCCAAACTAAGACTGAATTTAAGAATTCTGCATTTTTTTTGAGGCAAGGCACCTTTAAATGCTTTTACATATCCACTGCCACCAAAGAATTTTGAATGGTGAAATTTATTTTAAACTAGCCATCAGCTCCCAACAGCACTTGCTTACATTCAATTTAGTTATTTCGTCACGTTATATTGGGTGGTTCGTCATTTTCATCTTCCTATTTGACCTACAAATATGGTCTCACAAATTGAAAAGAGGCTACCCCATAAACATGGATTGATTCAGTCCAGCAGAGTAAGATATACTGACTACTCTGGACCTAAATGAGGCCACAATACTGGTCACTTATTACCAGACATGGGGATCATTGAGGTTGAAGTTGGAAATATCCCAAAATATTTCTGCAATGTTTTGGGTGCATACTGATTATGGATCAGTTGGGCACAGAACAAGTAACCCATATTAATGAAACTGTATTAATCTTATCTAAAGATAGATAAAAAGCAATTTGAACACAATCAAATCAACATTGGGAGTGAATAAAGGTATTCACTGAAGGGATCATAGGCAAACATACATTTCTTACTGATGTTGGGTTGGTTTTATAAATTGTAGCTTTTTTAACATGTCCTTATTCTCAATTACAAAGTAATAAATGGACCTGACATTTGCGGAGGGAATTTCCATTGGGCTGTAAAATGATTGACCTTAGAAATAAGCATATGATGGGGAAAGTTCATAAGTGAACAGCATCAATATGGGCACCTTTGGAGCCAATGGAGTTTCACCTCATAGACAGCTAGTACACATCATCATGTGATGTTTTTATGCACTTCAAATCTCACTCAAGATAAGGCTATATCTTTATGTCATGGTTTGCCTAACAAAAAACGTAGTCACTACACTTTGCATTAAATGCTGTGAAGCACTTTGGAACGTTCTCCCAACGTGAAAGGTGCTATCCCAAATGTAAAGATTATTATTATTTACCCCAAAGTGTAGTGAACAGATAGAATAGGAGCATAATGATGAAGGTCCATCATATACCACAAGCACAATGAAGCACTGTGAGATGTCCTCCCGACATGAAAGTCCCTATATAAATGTAAATTGGATATAATGGTGCCTATCCAACATAAACTAATTTAAGTCCACATTCGTTGATGCATGTTCACTAAAACAAAGCTTTGAATAGTTTCACCAATGTAAGTCATAGAATTAATATCTTGTGGCTATCCACTTGTGGGTGGGGGAAGACAGGTGAGTGTCCTTAAAGCTGAGCTGGTTCCAAGGAAAAATACTTGGCAACAGAATGTCGGAATTGAGTCAACCATCCGTGGCAGTTTTGGGGGGCTAGTTCCTGAGCCAGGCAGATCCACAGTACTTCAGGGCACTGCTGTTGCCAGCCTCGTCAGCTTAACTCCACAGGAAGCAGGGATTCTTTCCATTCAGCTCCTAATGATTTTGTAAGCCAAAACCCTAAAGGGTAGGGTAGTATTAACTGGATGAGCAGTGGGAAGTTTGCTAGACAGCGCTCTCAATGGCAAGCTATTGTAGTTTTAGTTAACTAAACTCCATCAGCATCCTAACACACACTCTGCGGTTTCCAAACCTTGGCCCTTAAGTATTGTGATGTGTTTCTGCATGTCAGCTTTACGTTACTAAGGTAAAAACTTTAAATTGTATAAGCTACCAGAGATTTATTGCAACTGCATCTTCCATTAATTAATTAATGGTGATTGTTGTTATTATTTACAGAATTTTCAAAAAAAGATTGTACCGGCATTGATTTTGTAAATGAAAAAAAACTTTTTGGTAATCAGGTATCCCGTTTTGGGCATCGTGTGACACATATTGAAGGCCACGTAATATACTCTGCTATGATTGCTTACCATGATTCCTGGGGTCATGGTATCCTCTTTCCGATATTGAGCAGCAAAGTTCTGAAAGGCAAAAAAGAAATAGGTTCAAAGCTTAGGAGAGATTTACACTGATTATCAAATAACTTCACTGCAAATGCGAAAACCTCTGTAAGATTAAAACACAAATGAAGCACTGACTGAAGAAAGTTACAAACAATGTAACATTTGCATATACACTTTGAGAAGTAAATTACTTCAGTACCAACACTTATGAAGTAATACATTAACCATTCTCATATAGAGGGGGGACAAAAAATTAAAAATTTTCTTAATTACTTCACTGTGTTCTTCCTTCCTTCCTTTAAAGTACTTACTTCTGGGAACTGATATTTGAAATGATAAAACTTTCAGTTGACTGATAATTCCTCTTGTCCGATGCAGCAGCTTTTCCTGCTGTGAATACTGCATGTTTTCTTACAATTGATTCACACAACACTGGAATGCTTGTTGTTATTGTACAGAGAAAAATGATTCAGGTCTCATCTCTGATCTGCGTTTAGTTTTCTGATCTTAGTCAGGTGCCAGTGGGGAAATGCAATTGGATTTGTTGTTCCTCAGCTAGATAGGGGAAAAAAACAGAGACAGATCCTATTTGTGATCACTGTCAAGTAATCACGGGTGGAAAGGTGCATATATATAGGGATATATATAGATGTTGGGTAAGGACAGGATTGGGCTTGGCTGTGATATCCACCTATGGACTAATAGCCTGCAGATACTCACTGTCCAGACTCACAAATGAAGAGTGGCTGCTTGGGTGAGGTAACAGAGTGCTGTCAGCACCCATGGAACTGTGCCTCAGCATGAGTCTCCATCTTCGGGAGAGGAGGGGGAAAAAATTGAAAAAAAGAAAAGCTTATTGTTGCTTGGTATCACGTATACATATGAATAATAATTCACTGAACAGTGAAGTAACTAAGAAAATAATTAGAATTTTAGTATGGAACCTCAGAAAGGCCTAAATAATTGAATCAACAACTGAGCAGAGCAGTCAAAATTTAATGTTCCTCCAAAAACAATGAGCCAAATGTGGTAAATGATTCAGTAACTTACTCCGCTGAGGCCTGGGGCCCCTGGTGGGCCAGGTAAGCCAGGAAGGCCGGGCTGGCCTGGATCTCCATCTACACCATCAGGTCCTCGAGGGCCCTAGATTTAAAGAGTGTAAAATGTTTATGAATATCATGAAACACCTAGGAAGAAAAGCTGCACACATCTGTGCCCCAGGTAATACAACTGGTTGTACATCTATCTGGAATTTATCATTGGCAGACAAGCAAATAATTTGTAATCATTTTAACAAATAATTCATAAGACTATATTTTATCTGAATAATATTTTCTCCAGAATGAGGTAAACGTAGTGAAGAAATGAAGTTGAAGAACATGGGCACAACTTGAGGCTGATAAGTTCATAAATAGTAATGATCATTTATACCCTATCTCCTTGCTGACCTCTGTCGCCTCTGGAGCCTTGGGGTCCCTAAAGAAAAAAAAGAAGAAATATTTGAAATCATTTTAGATGCAACAATATATATCACAATTCCAGAATAAAATAATAATGAATTTGATACTCTGCTTTTCACGTCAGGAAGATGTTTAAAAGCGCTTCACAGGATTCACTAATAAGTATAATAGCTGTATTTTGAAGCTGAGCACACAGCAATGACTCACAAAACTAATGAGCAACCAATTTTATCTGTGGGATTGTTAGCCAGGACATTGGGAGAAACTACCTTCTCTTTTTACCTTAATCAAGAAAACGCAACCTTGGTTCAACAATTCATCCAAAGAAAGCCACATCCAACAATACTGCACATTTCTTGCGCTCTACTGGATTGTCAGCCTGAACTATATGAGTTCAAAGTCCTGACGTGGGGCTTGAACCCACAACCTTATGGCTCAGAGGTGAAAGTGATACTAGTTGAGGCAGGCTGACACTCATCCCCATCTGGCCCTCTCCACCATCAGCCATCGGGCCTTCAGCCTCTCTGCCTCCACCCTTTGGAACTCCATCCCACATTTCCTTTGCCTCGCTCCCTCCCTTGCCTCCTTCAAGGCACATCTCAAAATCCTCCTCTTCGACCGCACCTTCGGCCGCCCTCCTACCCTCCCTGCCCTCTATCCTCACTGAACCCAACTTGCTCCCCTCCCCCCACGCCAATTCGGGTCCAAATCTCTGACTTGGGACATCTTCCTGAAGTGAAAGGCACTATCCAAATGTAATTTTGTATTGTATTACAGTTGGGTAAAGAAAATAAATACAAACATTTACAATTAAAGACTGGATTGATATTTTAGGTTGAAACAAAAAGTTGATGCTGAAATTAGCAGTAGTCAAAATTTATTCATTATTCATCCTGAAAGATGATGCAGGTTTTTCTTGCTGCACTAATAGGTAACGGAGAGAACTGTTAAAATACAGCACACTTTGAACCATAGAAATTCACAGCACAGAATAAGGCCCACACATGTCTGTGCTGGCACTTTTAAAAGCAATCCTTGAATCATGCTTCCATTTCTTTTGCACCTAGATTCCTTACTACAGCCAATCAAAACATAAACGTTCTGTATCAAATAGTAGCACTATGTTGTGTACATCAAATATCTGCTCCCAAGAGAGGTGTGCTAATGGAATGGTTTAAAAACTTGCTTTACTTACTGTAAAGCATGTATATGTTTTGTGGTGAACACCTACAATCTAATAGTTCAAATGGTTAGGGACCTTTAGACTCTAAACCAGAAGTCCAATGTAGAACCAAAGAAAGTGCATTATCCCATTCACACAACTCCATTATCCTTATCCTCTTCCAGCAACTGACCTGACCACTACTCTGGGTAAGTTTTGCTAATGAACTGGTTCAACAAGTGGCTTATGTGCTAGATGTAGCATGTGATAAAAGAGTGTAAACCATCAGCAAGTGGACAGACAGCAGGTACAAAGAAGCCTATGTTTTATACCACTTGAGTGGTGTGGTGAAGAGCTAACCCCAAAGGAAAATCGGGAGGAAATGGGAGAGAAATAAAAATAATCAAATTTCAAACTCACACTTTATATGACTAGGATTTTTGGACCGAGGCCCAGTCCTGTTACTGCCACATGTGTCAGTTCACAGTTGGAGCAATAGGTGTGAAGTGGAAGTAGGGCATTTCCCCTTGGGGAAGTGGGGAGGAGGTGTAACATGCTGCCTTCACCACCCTCACACCATGTTGCTTCTACCAACCGGGTTTTAACCAGTACTCCTGCCAACTTCTACAGAGGAAACTCAGGGAAAAAGTCATGTGTGGAAAAAGTTACAAGAACAATCACAAAAAAAGCAAGTACTAAATAATGTTACACCTTTAGTAACGTGTATGAGTTGCAGAACCATAGCAAATTCTTTAGCTGTCAAAGTCACTATGAGAAACTGCTTGTATTCAGGTTAGGTTAAAAGGTGCATAGATAAGTATGCTGGTTTCATGACTGACGAAGCATGTTAATAATATAAAACTAATGGGGTATGTATAACTATATAGATAATTTGTGTTCTGATTATTTCATAATTTAACCAATTTTTATATTACTGATCTGTTTTATCATAAACTGTATTTTTATCGGAAATGTATTTGAAAACAATACTTTTAAATTACAAGCAAATGTACTACAAATGTGGCCTGTTCTCCTTCCAGTAACCAGAAGTATCTCGTGCCAACCCTCAGGAATAATGTTCTCAAGCACTTTATTTCACGTACAGTATTTCTACAGGTTGGTGGGATCTATATATATATATATAGAAGTGCTCTGAGATGCAACTACATAAAGGGTACAACACAAATGCAAGCGGTTGTTCACAATTAGATTCCTTCTTAAGAAGCATTGTTAATGTTGCATTTTAGACCCTTTCAACACATACAATGTTTAGGACAGAAAAATTATTTACATAATTTATTAGTCATGACATTATTTATTGTATTTGGCTCAATTTTGGCTCAGAGATGAACTTTCACGATAATAGTGTGATATCCTACTGCAACACTGACTGAAGCTAGGATTTCATCATTTATTTAGTCAAAATAGTTTATACTAGATATATAACATGTTTCTCCCACACTTTTTAGAGGAATGCGCTTAATAAAGAAATTATTACTTATTTTAATAAACTCGTGCGAGTCTCATAAACATTGTTTCCGATCTTTTGAAGATGAAACATGTCCACTGAATTCTTCAATTAAAAGGAGGGAGAAGATATTATTTATATCCCCCAAATCAACCAGACTAATAACTCATGCGTAATGAAATGACAAGTTAATTATAGTCAACACTGTGAGTGAAGTATGAATTATGGCCTCATGTTCCATAATGGAATTTTATTATACTGCACATTATAAATAAATTGGGTTAAAGAACTAAAGGAATTGGCTTAAGCGCATTACCTTCCAGTATGTCTATATTGTTTACACAAATGATAAAATTATTGTGCCTTGCATAAAGCAGAATGCTCTACTATTTTGCACCCGGTGGCAGTATCAAATCGCCCCCAGGTTAGGTATTGCTGCACAGTACAGCTGCGATTTAGGTTTCCCAACAAAAATGCCTAAGCAACTATAAAAATATACTTCTATCTGCAAGCAATGTGACAATTTTCAGTTGTCAGGTGGTGAATTCTTATTGTGTCTGAGTGAGTTTGTCAAATTAGTACTGAAAGGTGGGCAAGTCTGTACTAGGAAGTGGGTTTAAACATTCTGAAGTATTTCACTGTGTTTATATTTCAACTATTTACAAAACAAACCTGACCTATGTAGTGAGATTCACCCAAATCAGATAAACCAACATTAGCATTTTAGATAAGTGATTAGGTAACTTTGTAAGCCTGAAACAATAAGAAAAACAAAGGACGTAATCTTCTCACACAGGTTTGAAATATAATGGGATTGTTGAAACTAACCTCTAATCCGTATCCATCTGCAGGAGGAAAATGAGAAAATGGGGTGTTAGTTATGAATTTCTCATGTACTTAACATCCAAATCAGAAACATATTGTATACAGCAAAATCTCCATTTATAAAGTGTTTTTATTATCTGTAACTTGTCGCTTCCATTATATTAAATATTTGTAATGCAATGCTTCTATTTTATAATATTTATAGAATGAAACTGAAGTTATGTAAAATAACATTGTACCTGAAGACCTTTTGCTATTTTTGCTGTTTTATATAATAGTTTAAGTTCGACTGGCTACAAATACCTACCAGAAACTTAATGAACGTAGATATCATTCAGCAATAACTAAGCTCTACTACCACTGGCACTGCACCGCCTCTGAACTTAGTGCTTCAGTAACAAAATAAAACAACACTCCTAAGCAATTTAACCTGGGATATATATGACTTAATAGCATTTTTGGAATCCTAGTTTTTTTTAAAAAAGGTTGTTTTCCCTGATTTTACTATCTCATTCAGATACTCCCAAGATAGCTACAGTACAACTAACTGCAGAATACACCAGTCAGCTCGATTTGAACAACGTGCCTTAACCTCCTATTTCAGAAGTACAAGTCAACTGCACCAGTGTGAATATTTCCATTTCTTAGACCAGTCATCCAGTCATCCAAAATAATGCTATATTAGAGCCTTATAACATCAGAACAGTGAGAATACTTTCAACACATCATGCTGGCTCTAAACCCAAATCTCAGAATGGAAAGAAAAATGTTTCAATTAATTTTTGTTACCTAGTCCAACAGTGTTTTTTGTTACCCAGTGGAAGGAAACAATTTTTGTTATAATTATTATTGAATCATTTGAACTTCTGGAACTTCTTTTGATGGAAGAAACTTGTTGGGAAAGTAATTTTTTGCAAAATAAAGCATTCATTAAAATTGGAATTTATCATTCTCAGAGACTAATTTATATGCCTTATTTTTAAGTGGAGCAAAGTATGAATTGCTATAATTATATCCTTTTGCAATTTCTCCTTACCCAGCCGCTAATATTTTTGACGTTTTTCAAAACTGATACTCACTTGACACTAAAACAATATTTTTCTAGCAGGGCAAGGTCATAAAGAATGACACATTCTCAGATTTTTATAAGGAGTGTCCACATAGTATTGATGTTAGACTGTGCTGGCATAAATATTGTGAGAGATACCATCTCTGTACATTGTATACATTTACACACAAACCTGGGAGAAGGTTTGCGGTCAGTGACATCAACCAACACATTTAATTTCTGACATTGTTCAAAATGATACAAGTTTGACAATAAACACCATTCTTGCTAAATTCATTGATGCCTATTAGGTCATATTTTGGTCTTTCTGGATAATGGCAGAGTATAAACTGTTATCTAAGTTATTTGTCCCAGTTCTGAAAACAAGGGAATGCATTAAAAAATTACTGTTTGAAATAGAAATGCACTGGTAAAGACTTGTTTTCAACTCCCTTTCTCTACCCCACACCTGAGGAGGACAGGGTTGAGACATCTATCAATTTTCACCAGCAGCAGCAAGCACACCATAATGTACTGCACAGAATTTGGTCCATAGAGAACTGCAGGGAACACACATCTGCAACTGAAGGGAAGCAAAACAGATATCCAAGAGTGCTCTCTCTTTGTCAGTCAGTGAATGCAGGATCAAAATTGTCGTGGGAAGTTTGATTTTGGCATCCTAATTGGGTCTGTGCTTCTACTTTTAATTTAGTACTTAGTCTAATATTTAGAACTGTATATTCATTATCATTGTAAAATTGAAGTGTATACATTTTTAAAAAAGCGCTTCCAAATAAAGCTAAATGTATTTCAACGGACAAGTGCAAGAGTGATAATGTTAAAGCTATATATCAGCCATTGTGCATTTTATGATACAAAAAACTTGCTATAACAAAAAAGGAAGACACTTGAGATGAATTGTCTTAAGCATTCATTATTAATGCTGACTGTTTAATTCGCTTGGCATAATTCTTAAAAAAATAAAATGAATGATTGTTTCGTTGAAAAATAACTAAATCTATGAAACCTATGGAATTATTGCTTTAACAGATTTAACTTTGTGAACAACAGTGACCTAATTATTGTGATTAAAAGCAGAATTTGTAGGAAATGCAGATGTCTGTGAGAGGGTACGTTGAGAGAGGAGACAAGGTGAATAGGTCTGCTCTCCCCAAGAGCTGTGATTGATGCATCAGGTTAGCATAAGGGTCACCATTCCTACTCCCACTCCCAATGGTCTAACTATGGGTGGTCACCCCAAAACTCTCACATGAAGTCATCATAGACGACACGCCAGCAAGGCTGAGGTTTCTGCAGTTCTTATCCTCTTGCACTTTGACTGCCCTCTACATCACTACCTAGACCCGTGGCAAGAGAGAAATGGTGGCAAATAGCAAACAAACCACATTGATGCTACCAACGTTTAACGCACATGAAGACCTGAAGCCCAACAAGACTACTTGCTCTCTTCTTTTGTCAGATCTATACCTGTTCATATATTGTGAGACAGTTGCTCTTTCAAAACTACAGTGGTGATTTAAAGCGTCAGCGGTTTTAAATGAAACACATACATCACGCTTGATGATTAATGCATTGATACGAAGCACTCGCTATATAAATATAAATTGTTGTTGTATTACTGTATATGATACAACAATGGCCTTGTAATATTGTAATGTTAACTACAGAACCTGCCTAGTGACATAACCATTTAATCATTCAAGTGCAGAATTCATATAGATTCTGGAAATCAAACAGTGAGTACACTTCCTGTGGTTGCAGTAGAAGTTCTACTTAGACATTACAATAAAAGAGGTTGAAGCATGTAGAAGACCCACATAGGGATTCTGGAAGACTGTTGTCCAAAACAATATATTTCAGTAAACTATTTATAAGCTATCGAAACACAGGAGTGAATCTTTCTCGGTATAAAAGTATTTCATGTAAGAAAACGATACTCCGGTCTGCAACTGTGTTACTACAAGGGAAAAAAATGGCTTTGTTGTTTTAACATTACTTGAGGTTTCTGAGCATTGCGTGTGTGGGCGGTGAAGGGAACAGGCCCAAACGCAGGGCCAATGGAAAGGGAGGGGGAGCATTCTTAAACCTATGGGGGCGCTGAGAGGGTGGAGGGTGGTGGTAGCCTTGATCTTCTCTTCCCTATAAAACCCTGCCTCACGTTTGGATGGTGTATCATAGATTTGGCTGAAGTGAGTACTGAATGTCCCAGCATGTCCTTCAGTCTTGAGAGTGGGGAGAACTAATTGATTTATTATGCAAATGTTGGGAAGCCTCCACCCTTCTCTTCCCCATGGCCAGTGCCAGACCTACATGTACTGCCCATCACCAAGAGGGGGCTCCAAAATACCCCTTTTGGCTTCAGTCCACCCACAGTATTGCCAAACTTGCATTAATCTATAAAAGATGTTCACTGCGGTACAAATCACATAATCTGCAATTCATTAAAAAAAGTTGATCACATACTCTCTTATGATTCTACTTGCTACACAGAGGTCAAGAGGTGCAGATGGATCATGAACCAAATCTGCTGCCTTCCCTCGAATGGTTGAAGCACTTTGAGACCATATCTCAAGGATATGGTTATATCAATCCAAGGATTATTATTATGGTCACTTTTCTTCACTTATTGAAAAAAAAACCCCAAGGCCATTTCATTTGGGCTGCGAAAGATTACACTAAAAATAAGGATACAGAAACTGCCCACATCTTCTCAACCGGACAACAAGTTTGAAGCTCCCAGGAGAAATGCAACACAGCATCAACAACAACAACAACAAGATTCCATTTATAAAGCGCCTTTCACGTCGGGAGGACGTCCCAAGGCGCTGCACAGTTGGGTCATGACCCGAGCAGGGGGGAAATGGTCAGGGTGAGGGGAGGGAAGGGAGGGAGCGAGGAGGGGGGAAATGGTCAGGGTGAGGGGAGGGAAGGGAGGGAGCGAGGAGGGGGAAGAGAGTCGAGAGGGGAGCTGAAGGCTCGGTCAAAGAGAAACAAGTCCAATGCCACACACCGAACTTAAGAGCATCATTCCTTGAACCTTGTGGGCAGAAATCTCCTTGAAAAAAGAACTCACCACAGAGAATAAATTGAGCTTTACTGCGGTCTGAAATAATCTTTAAGGTGGAGCAATACTGGGGCAGACAGTACCCTGGAAGGTTTTGCTGCCGATCGACACAAGGAGGCGCTGAATGGCAATCTTCAGTCACCAACCCCACTCCCCAACACAACGATGGTCACGGAAAACATTAGCAACAAAGCATCACGACTGTCTCCTCGTACGGAATTTCTTCCTGATCTACCGAGTTTTCTCTCCACGAAGCTGACTCGAGAGTCCCCCCACCCCCAAAAAAAAATGATTAACTGAACGTCAACGACACAGAGCAGAACAGCACAGGGTCAGTGGGAACAGCTCAAACATCACACACGTTAAACAGACTGGGAACCTGAGCCACTTTTCTCCAACTTTTGGGCGACCACAGCTTTCCACCGAATTCGGGCAGATCTCAAAACAAAACCTCTCCCACAGGGATATTTGACTCTCTCTCTCTCTCTCTCTCTTTCTCTCTTTACTCCAAGCAATAAGCAAGTCCATCATTCTGCACCACAGAGCCATCCCTTGCTGTGGTCCTGCCCATGGTTCACCGAGAACACGATTGATCCGTGTATATATATACACACACACATATATATATATATATATATATGTGTGGATTTTTTTTTCTCAATGCAGGACGAAGCCATGATTTTGATACTTTTATTTTTGATCGTTTGTTTTTTTTGCCTCCCTCCCCATCCCCATCCCCATCCCCATCTGATAAAAGTTTGGGCTTTCCGAAAGAATGCTGTGCACGTCTTATCTTACTGGTGGGGCTGCGATCCTTATTAAACATTACACACAGTCAGATTCAAAAGAGGGCACTTACATGCGTCTTCGTATTGACTTCTTGCAACGAACGTCGTTACTGCAAGCAGCAACAAAATCCGTGTATCCACAAAGCTGAGCATGTCTAAATGTTAGACATGCAGACTCCTTGTGAGAAGTAGCCCAGTCTTTTGCCCAGCAAAGCACACAACAGGGGGTGATGATAGCTCCAGACTTTACAGAACCCTCCTGTCGTGTCTCCAGCGTGATGGACCCTTCTTATAGTACAGGAGGATCCCCGAGTGCGTGTCAGTACATCCCCTTAACCAATCGAAACCCAACCCACCGACGCTTTCATCCCAACTGGTCCATTGGAGGAACATGTTCCAATGCGCCCAACCTGCCAGGAGGGAATACACTGGCAACAGCAGGGCTGGGACTGACCGCTCCATAAAAGGTCTAATCGAATCCAGCCCTCCCTGCTTTCTTGTCGCCTTGCTCTTCATTTTGAGAGCCCGGCTTGAACGTTTGGTCCGACTTTCTAGAGTGGGGCATATGGAGGCGATGTGGACAGTGAGAGGTGTCAAGAGGTGAGAGAGAGAGAGAGAGAGAGAGAGTCAGATCAGCAAAGGTCCTGGGCAAGGTTGTGTGAAGGAGGTAGAGGGCAGGGCGTGGCTCTGCCTTTAAATAGCCTGCACAGGCTGAGGCAGGCAGCTTTGATCCACCAGGCAAGCCATCGCCTCAGTGGCTCACAGTGAGGAGGGGGTTCACCATGTATCATGGCCACTTGGCGATAAGGATTTTGCCATTCGGTATATTCCACGGCATATCTGCATCCAGAGACGTGCATTCGCCAGAAAAAAAAAAGACCAGGAGATCAATTGATGCCAATCAGGTTCACACCCCCTTTCCCCAGGAACTCGATCTACTTAATGTGCCATTCACAGCGTCTCGAGACACTTTGCCCCCCTCACCTGCTCCTGACACCCGAAGTGGCTCCGACACATTGCTACTCAAACTAGTTGTCGCCCCCAAGAAGAGTTGTTGGAAGAGTTGCAGATGAGGATCAGTCCGGCACAGGAAGAGCTCCCGCTAATGCTCAGTTTGAGTGTGATTTAGCAAAAGATGTTCTGTGTCTCTCAAACACTGTGGTATTGTACCTGACCCTGACCCTGACCCTGACCCTGATGCCCAAGTCAAGAGCACAATAAAATGGTCCACATAGAATCTAATTCCGGATAAACATTTGTCACAATCTGTAAACAATAATTACTATAAGAACTCGTTGAGGTTTGAGAGATATGTTGGATTCATCAGCAGTCACTGTAAGGGTTTCAAGGACAGACACTGATCGGTTGCAGAGATCTGCCCATTACCCCCATCCCTGTCCCTCTGACACAGGCTGTGTGTGTGTGTGGGGGGGGAGGGGGAGGGGGGGGATCATTCATTCGTTCTGTGCAAAATACCCTTTACATGAAGCGATCAAAGGTTCCGAGGCTTCTCGTTCCTCTTTGCAAATGAGTCTTCAACACTGACCCCCACTCCCTCCCCTGATCTCAGTAACCAGCTCTCTCACAGCGGAGTGGATCAATTCGGAGCCCCTGACCTGCACCGACCAACAGTGCGATTTCTAAGCTCCTTTCGTTTACATTCGTAAAGCAGACATTTGCAGTCTCTAATATGGTGATGTTTGCCGCATCTAAACTGTACTCGTGGCTCAAAGGAAGTCCCTTTAATTGTTTCAGGGTATGTGTGTGTGTGTGTGTGTGTGTGTGTGACAACTCCTTCCACCGAGTTAGCAGACCTGTCAGCACAGCTTCGAATATGGTTTGTGGATTGAATCCAATGCTATTTTATGAGGAGGGGGTCCTTCGCTGGAGCAGGTGACCAAACACACATGATGGATTAAATAGAGTGGAGGAAGGGGTTGGGTTGCCTTAAACTATAATAGAACAACAGTAGCTTGACTGCTATTTAACTCAACAACAACTACTTGAATGGATTATTATTATTCAGTTCATCCGTGCAAAGTGGTTTTACTATGTTTCTTCTATGTTATTTAGGAAATATGACTAAACGCCTTATGGATTGCTGATGATATTGTACATAAGGCATTGAAGTACAATTGTACTCGTGGCTCACGTTCCCCCAGCTGACCAGATAGTACACACCCTTATTTAGAGCTGAGGGCAGAAAGGATGCCACATTTCAAATTCCTTTCCCTTACTCTGAATTAGGCATAAATCAGACAAATAGCTCAGACGTCAAGCAAAAATGGAATGTAACTGAAACTTTATTAATAACAATATGGCGATCACATTGCTTGCTTTGATGGTCAGTCCACACTGCTCTAGGAGATAGTCATTTCATTTTAAAATTTGTAAACTATATATTTGTAAAGATATAGTCCACGCACGGTCAAACAAAAGTTTCTTGATTTGAGGGACTGTAGCTTTAAAACTCTTGAAATTGGAGAAATCCGTGGAGGCTTTAGTTCAGTGATGTCCAATAACCTTTGTGAGCTAACACAGAAAAAGCACACAAAAGCCAACTCCAAAAAGCACACTTATTTTACTGGGTTTTAAAAAATGAGATTCGGACAAGAAAAATCAAGTCCAGACAAACAGAGGAGCCACAGGCATCTGCAATGTACCCTCCCTCATTACAGTACAGTTCCTTATCTCCTCCTGAAAGAATACAGTTTGAATTAACCTGTCAACCAGATGCGAAACTGGGTTATGCAAGTACATTCACTCTCGCTGTTGACAAGACAGCGATTTTTTTAAATCTTTAGCAGAAGTGATAGTTTGCTCTACTTTGCAGTTAAAAGTAATAAAAGTAAGAAGTATTAAATGCACGTCTACATTGCAGTTACGATGGAAATAATGAACTGAATTTTCTGGCCCTGCCCAAGTCAGCATTTCATTCTTTCTGCACATCTGGAATACATTAAGAGCAGCATTGACTATATTCCACAGAGAAAAAACAGTCTGCCTATTCTTCCTGTTCTCCACCTCCCTTAAAAAGATGAGGACGATAAGGGAGGCCAATTTCCAATTTGTATGAAGTTAACAGTGATAAAAGAAACTCGATTAAAACAAACTCAAGAAAGTGATGTAAAACACAAATGCTCTCTGACACTACTTGGTTTTTAACAAAAAGTTAACTTTTATATGGACTTTTTTGATAAGATATGATCTTAAAACCCTCAATAGACCAAATGCATTCAATCCTAATTTGTGGCGAGTGTGAACAATGTCTAGACGTTAACAAGGTTTTATGTATTAAGTTCAAGCTGAATTTGCATGTATGGCATTGCTGCTTAGGTGATAGAAAAATAAAATCTGGAAAGGGACAAATCTCCCGTGAGATAAAACTATTTTACTATTTCCATACACTTTAATGTAAAAATACAGTGACTGAGCATAGCTCAACAAGATCAAATCACAATTGAAGATCACATGTTTGACTTCAGTCATGATTTAGCAACAACAACAACAACCAATTACATTTGTATAGCGCCTTTCAAAAGGAACAAGACTGTTCACAAGGACAGCCAGGGATTTGGACATGAGCTGGGGATTGGGATAAGGAAGGGTGGAGGGCAGGGAGGGTAGGGGTAGGGGGGTGACCAAAGGTGCAGTCGAAGAGGATAGTCTTGACATGCGCCTTGAAGGAGGCAAGGGAGGGAGCGAGGTGAAGGGACTGTGTGGAATGGAATCCCAAACGCTGAGGCCAGAGAGGCTGAAGGCCTGACCTCCTCTTGTGATTTAAGTCTATGCTAATGATCCCATGGTATTTTATCAAAGAAAAGTTGTCTCTTGGTGTTTTGGTCAAGTATTGACTTATCATGATCCAAAATTCCCCAATAGACGATATTTTATCATCATCTCAGTGTTATTTGTGGAATATTTATAAGCTGTTATGTTTGTACAGCAGATAATTTGTGAACAACAATGTCTGTGAAACAGTCACAAAGTGAGCGATCAATTTTAGTTGGGGCACCTTAGGCCAGGACACCAAGAGAATCTCTCTTCCCTTTTCAAATAATGCCGTGGGACCTTTAACATCCACCGGAACAGGCGGACGGGTCCTAGGTTTAACGTCTTATCTGAAGGACAATACATCCAAATGAAGATCTGAATTAAGCAGGAAAATATGGTAGGTAAATCCATGGTTGGAGAGATGATGTAGGAAGGAGGGGTTTATATTTTGAAGACTTTGGGACTAGTTCTGGGCAGGATTGAGCTGTATGGATTGGACAAGCTACACTTGAACAAGGCTGGCACAATCTCCTCACTGGGAAAATAACTAGGGCTGCAATAATGGATTTAAACTAATATGATAAGGGGATGGGAATAAACATGATCGATATGGAGGTGGAATGGGAGGGTAAGGACAAGGACATATAGAAAACAAAATAATCTTGACTCATGTTGGAGTACCAATATTGACCCTACAAATCCAACCAATGAGTCAGATTGGCCGGTCTGTCAACTGCAGTGCCCTGGAGTACGACGACCTGCTTGGTTCAGGAACCAGATTACTAAAACCACCACACCTCTATCCATTGAGCAATGGTCCCTCCACAGTGAAGCAGATGTCCATTAGATAGCTGATGTGGAAACTCTGAGGCTTGGGATAGCTGCTTGAAGGCATTATATGGAGGCTGGGTTAGTGAATGCACATTCATATATCCAGGGCTTGGAATCCACCTTAATTGATATGTGCAACTGCCGTGCACAATTGGCTGCTGTGTTTCGGCCACAAAATATAGTTAATTCACTTTACAGTATATTCTGTGAAGCGCTTTGAGACGAAGACTTGAAAAGCGCCATATCAAATGCAAGGATTATTATTATTGATGTGCAAAGAACTAAGCAGCTGCTGTTGAAGCTCTGTATCTCCAATTGGTGGAACCATTGCTCAATGGGTAAGTGCTCCGAGACGCTGTGAAGGGCACTATATAAATGCAAGTTGTTGTTGTTGCAGAGATACGGTGGCTTTGGTAGCCAGACAACTGACTGACCCCAAAAAATCAAATGCGAAGATTATTATAACTGAAATCTGAATATATTACAACAACAGCAACTTGCATTTATACAAGTTCATATGGAGCCATGTCTCAGAATGCTGAGCTCTGGGTTACTATGGAAAAGAATATTATGCTAAAGAAGAGCTCTAATGTACTTCATAGGATTAGATATGGTAAGAAAGAATAAATGGAAATGGCAAAGAGACAAATAAACGAATGTCACTTGTTTTGT